GAGGGACCCTCACTGGTCTGATCCAGCAGGGCTCTTCTGATGTTCTTACGAGGGGAAGGCCTCGGCCTCTCTGCCCTGTTGTTGGCCCTCCAGAGGAACTGGGTTGAAGCCACTGTGGGAGACGGGATGCTGGACTAGAGGGACCCTCACTGGTCTGATCCAGCAGGGCTCTTCTGATGTTCTTACGAGGGGAAGGCCTCGGCCTCTCTGCCCTGTTGTTGGCCCTCCAGAGGAACTGGGTTGAAGCCACTGTGGGAGACGGGATGCTGGACTAGAGGGACCCTCACTGGTCTGATCCAGAAGGGCTCTTCTTATGTTCTTACGAGGGGAAGGCCTCGGCCGCTCTGCCCCGTTGTTGGCCCTGCAGAGAAGCTGGTTGAGGCCACTGTGTGAGACAGGATGCTGGACTAGATGGACCCTCACTGGTCTGATCCAGCAGGGCTCTTACAGTGCAGGCAGGATTTGAACTGGGAACGTCTTGACTTGGAGTCTTGTAGCTGCTACACTACTCCCATTTGTATCAACCTTCCCCTGGCTCTGAATTTAGAAAGCTTCCCCCATTCTGAATTTGCAGTTTTTTTAAATTTAAAAAAATTAAATGAATTTATATAGTTCTTTTTTTTTTTTAAATCCCGCCCTCCCCACGAACAGGCTCCAGGCGGATTACAAAGTCACACAGTCTCCACAACCATAGTTAAATAACTAAAACAATAATGTAAAGCCATAATAGAAACGGCCATCAAGCCTCGTGCGGCTGTGCTTCATTTAGGCTGATCACAGAGTCAGCGATTTCACTAGGGGAGGCCAGAGATGGATTTTGGAGGTCCATCGCCTCAGCCGAGAGCCTGCCAGAACAGCTCCATTTTTTTTTAACCCCAGGGAATAATTAAAATAAAATATTTAAAATAAAATCCAGGGATCCCTAACTATGCAACCCGGGATCCTTTCTCTTCTTTGCCACTGTGTGTTCTGGTTCTGCGAGTCCTGCAGAAAGGCCAAGTGTGTCATGCTGGGCATGGAAGCCCCACTCTCTGGATGCCAGAAATGGTCCTTCACGCACCCTGTCTCTGAACTTCGTTGGTCTTGGAGGTGAACACGGGCTTCACCTTAAGTTCTCACATCTGGTTTTTAACTCTTGTATTCTTATGCACAGGGGTCTTGTTGTAGAAAAAGAGCTGCCGGAGCTCATTAGCATAACTAATTAGCATAACTTATTTGCATATGCCACGCCCCCTGACATCACCGGAAGTGACAGAAGGCCACACCCCCTGACATCACCGGAAGTGTGTCAGAAGGCCCGGCTACTTACCCTCCTGCTTCATCCTCATTCCCAAACGGAATGAGGATCGAAGCAGAGGGCGGGGTAAAGAAGGGGCGGGGCTTCACCACGTGACCGCCCCACCCCCTAGAGGTTCTCTTCCGGAGCTCCATACCTGAGAGCTCCCCCCCGACTAGAGCCCTGAAGATAAATGAAATGAAGGGATCACTGCAAAAGCATCTTGTAGATTGGAGCAAAGCTGTTGGTAAGACCTGTGAATGGCAGCAAATTAGCATACAAATGATTTGTTGTTGTTCAGTCGCACAGTCGAGTCCGACTCTTCGCGACCGCATGGACCACATCACGCCAGGCCCTCCTGTCCTCTCTCGTGCTCCGGAGTTCTGTCGTGATGTGGTCCATGCGGTCGCGAAGAGTCGGACTCGACTGTGCGACTGAACAACAACAAATTATTTGTAGGCTAATTTGCTGCCATTCACAGGTCTTAACAACTGCTTTAATCTAATCTTAGCTATAGTTATCAGCCAGTTACTTATGCATCTTGACTCTAACGAGCTGTTCCTGCCAACTACCCCCCCCCCACACGTATATGTAAAGCTTGAAGAAGTCTGTTTCATCCGAGGGAAAACCATAGAGTTTTCCCTCGGATGACCGTGGCCCCGCCTCCAGCGTGCCCAGCGTGGTCGCGTCACTTCCGGGTGACGTGCACAATGCGTACTTTGGGGGTGGGGTTCCCCCCCCGGGGCCTGATCCGGCGGTGGCGGGGAATGGGCGTCTGGGACGGGGGTTTTCCCGCCCCCCGGGGGGACTTGGCAAGCCTATAACAACTGCTTTAATCCAATCTCAGCTATACTTATCATCACCCAGTTACTTATGCATCTTGACTAACTAGCCCTTCCTGACAACTAACCCCCCACCCACCCTCTCTCTCTGCCTATACATAATGGTTTGCAAAGTCTGTTTCAAAGTATCTGAAGAAGTGTGCCTGCACACGAAAGCTTATAACCCAGAATTAAACTGTGTTGGTCTTCAAGGTGGCCCTGGACTCAAACTTTTGTTCTGAGCTATCCGACCACCATAACCATGAAGGCTAGAAACTTGCTTTTTTCCCCAAAAAAAGAAAGGAAGGGAAGGGAGGAGAATAAAACTGAGAATCACAAGAAGGTGAATTCTGCGTCCATTGTTAGTTTGCATGTTTTTCTGTGCCCTGTGAAAATGTGGCATGCACGTAGCCCTGCTCTTCAGGGACAGAAGCAGGGCTATTTTGGGGCAGGAACGCACAGGAACGGAGTTCCGGCTGGCTTCCAAGTTGGCCACGCCCAGCAGGAACTCATTAGCATAATAGGCCACACCCAACAGCAGAAACTCATTAGGATTGGCTACATTAGGGGTGTGTGGCCTAACATGCAAAGGAGTTCCTGCTCCAAAAAAAGGCCCTGGGTTTTGAGAACAAACAAGGTAAACAGAATAACAAGCAAAAGGTGGGTGTGGCTGGATGACCATACTTCTGGTAACATGGGGGTGTGGCCTAATATGCTAATAAGTGGTGCTGTCAGGGGTGTGGCCTAACATGCTAATATGTTTCTGCTATTGGGTGTGGCCTATTATGCTAATGAGTTCCTGCTGGGCTTTTTCTACAAAAAAAGCCCTGGACAGAAGTCATGCCCAGAGGAGATGGTGTGGCCGCCCTCCCAGCATGGCCTGCTCTCCCGGGCCTCAGCCTCTGGTGTGCCCCGGGGCCTAAAGGTTGGCTGTTCTTGGCCCAGAGCCTGCAGGTGGAGGCCAAGAGGCAGCTCTTCCTGGCTGAGTACCTTACGCTTCTATATCTGGGAAGATGTTCTCTGTGGCAAGCCGGAGAAGAGCAAACTAACCAAGCTGTGGACGCAGCACCCTCAACAGCAAACCATCTCAAAAGCCACCTGGTCTCCCCAAACTCAAGGCCTGGTGCCCTAAAAGGATGGCGGGGGTGGGTTTCCGAAAGCTGGGTATGAATTTATAAGTTGTCATGTGTCACGCTTAAGGTTGTTTTGTAAGTCGCCGTGGGCAGGTTCCCCAGGAGAGGTTGTTTAAAAATCCCCTAAATGAATGCGTAAATGCTCAAAGGGTGCAGGAACCCAACTCCTGCATCTGGTCAAGCCGCGTTCTGCACAAAGAATCAAGTGCCCATGAGCTTCTTCATCCCCCCCCCCCCTTTTTGTTTGTCACCACTTTTATCAGCAAAGGCCTGTACTGCTGTGTACACCTTATTGTAAGTAGGATCCTGTTATGTCATTTCTGTAGCACTTAATGTGCAGTGTGAATGCTCATGCTTATGCTTCAGTTCCTTCTGGTGGTTCCAGACCTCCGATATCCCAGTGCATCGGTCACTGAACGTCCCATTTGGTTGACTGTACTGACTCATTCTGTGTAATCCTCCTTGATTCCCTGTGAGAAAGGCAGGCTATAAATAACGTTCATAAACAAAGAAAATAAAGGCCTGTTTTGGACTCTAGGACTCTAGGCCTCCGCGCCGTGTCAGAATTCCAGAGGTGACTGTGGGCTCAAAAAGGCTGGGGACCCCTGGGATAAACTTTAGAGGAGGAGGAGGATGAGAAGAGATTGGATTTATCCCCCTCCCTTCCCTACTCAAAGGCGTCTCAGAGCGGCTTACAATCTCCTTTCCCTCCCCCTCCCCACAACAGACACCCTGTGAGCAGTGTTCCCCCCTAAGCTGAGTTAGTGTGAGCTAGCTCAGTTTTTTAGCCTCCGGCTCACACATTTTTGGCACAGAAAGAATGGCTCCAGAGAAAACTAATTTATGCAGTAGCCAAATCGCTCGCTCACAGTTTTAATGCCAGTAGGTCACAAAGTGGAATTTTTTGCTCACAAGGCTCCACAGCTTATTAGAGGGAGCATTGCCTGTGGGGTAGGTGGGGCTGAGAGAGCTCTGATAGAAACTGCTCTTTTTGAAGAAGAGCTGTACCAGTACTACGGCTTGCCCAAGGTCATCCAGCAGGTGCAAATGGAGGAGGAGTGGGGAATCAAACCTGGTTGTCCCAGATTAGAGTCCGCACACTCAACCACAACACCAAACTGGCTCTGAGAAGGGAGCTCTGACTCTCAAAAGCTTATACCCTGGAACTCTTGTTGTTCTGTAAGGTGCTACCAGACTGAAATCTAACTGTCCTGAGTTCAGAGACTTTAGATGTTGCCAATAAAGCTTGGCTGCCTTTATTCAGAAGGCTTTATCCCCAGGGTATGGGAACATGGAAGTAAATGCTGATTCCCACAATTCCTCAAAATTGCACATGCTAGCTTTATCCAACAGCTTGGTCCACAAGAGATTTGACATGTTCAGACATTTCACCTTGCAGGCAGTGAATGCTCGGGGAGGGACCAAGCCCCCCGCAGCAAGTTTGCCCCCACCCGACCTGTGTGCATTGGAACCACCAGAGTGTTTTCATTGGCGGTAGGATTTCCTCCCACAGAGCATGATTCTTCCCGTTTCCCTCTCCCTCCGCAGCCCAGAATGTCTCCAACGATTCTGCTCCTTCGTTTCAGGGGGGCATTTTTGGCTGCAGCAGTTGAGGGAGGCAAGAAAGTCTTGTTCCGTGGGCAGAAATTCTCCCATCTGTGGGAACACACCAGTGGATCCAGGCCTTTGTGTGCCTCTCTCTGCAGAGTTGGGAATCCTCCTTTTTCGGGACTGTTGTGCAGAGAGTTCTGTGCCCATATGGCTTTATATATATGTTCCACCTGGTCCTGACATTTCCCCCACACACACACTGCGCGTTCACACTGGGTTGTCTCCTTTGTTTGTTTTTTAATTGAATTTGTATTCCACCCTCCCTGCATTTGTGTCCCTTGTGTGTCCCTATTGCTTTGGTTTTTTTCTTTTTTGCATGCATTTTGCTCCCTCTAGTGGTCAACGTGATATTACATTGCTTTATGTCTGGCATATTTTCCTGCAATATTACATACAGTGATGTAATATAAAATCCACCACTAGAGGGAGCAAAATGCATGCGGAAAAGGAAGAAAACTCGAAGCAGCAGGGACACACACAAGGGACGAAAAAGAGAATGTGGAAGAGCCCATTGTCTCCATTAGCAGGCCTGAAAAACACTATTTTAATGTGCAGCATCTGTCTCTTGATGGGTCATAACATGTTCAAAATCATCACTCTGCCTGGGGTCCAATCCCTGCAGCTGTTCCTTGTGACTCTTGACCTGAATTTGCCCTCTCTCAATTCCTCATCCCCACCTTGCTCCACAGACCTAAAGTCAGCCACACATTACAGTAAACGAAGGTCAGGCCAGCAACATCCCAGCTTCCAGTTCTATTGTGATCGGCTGGTATTGCGCATGGATCTGGTGCTGTGCAGTGTTGCCTAATTTATTCCACTTCTGCTACGCCAGAGAAGGCACCGAAGTCTCGCCTTCCAGCTATCAGAAAAATACATTTTTTTGTTTCCAAATTTTCCAACAACCAAATCACAAAAAAAAAGCAATAAAGCCATAGAAACCAGTTCAGAACCATAATAACGAATACAAGGTGATTCAGGGACAGAGATTGATAACAGTGTGAAAGAGGTGGAGGAGGAGGAGGAGGAGGAGATTGGATTTATACCCTGCCCTTCACTACCCAAAGGGGTCTCAGAGCAGCTTACAAACTCCTTTCCCTTCCCCTCCCCACAACAGGCACCCTGTGAGGTAGGTGGGGCTGAGAGAGCTCTTGACAGAAACTGCTCTTTTTCAAGAACAGCTCTTATCAGAACTATGGCTTGCCCAAGGTCATCCAGCAGGTGCAAGTGGAGGAGTGGGGAATCAAACCCGGTTCTCCCAGATTAGAGTCCGCGCACTTAACCACAACACCAAACTGGCTCAAGAGAAGTTCAAAAGTGCAGCACTTCAAAAAAGCTCTTCCCAAGTGAAGAATTCAGACTAATGTTGAAGTATTTAACAGTCACAGCTTTACAGGGTGACTCTGCCAATAGCGTACATTCTCGGTTACGCGTAACAACTTCTTAATAGCATGCAACAGGGCAGTCAAAAATAAATTAGATCATGTTCAAATTTGTTTTTTTGGAAGGATACCGTTATTAGTTAAGATAGGAGACTATTCGAAACCAAAGATAAACATTTTTTCCCCCGACCACGTTCCGTTTGAGCACTAGAACCGAATGCGTAAAGTTTACCCGGCAGAAAATAATCCCATTGCCGAACTTGTATGGAGGCTCGGCTCGCCCTCTGACTTCCAAGCATTTCTTTATCTAAAATATTTCTATGCCTCCTCTTCAGAGTCCTGCTTAAGGCTTCCTGTAATCAAAAACCACACTGTTAAAGCACAGTCAGTGTGTGCCAGACAGCAGTGATCGGTTTGCGCTCACCACCAAAGCACGGAAATGAGCCACAGACAGGCCTACACGCTTGGGAGCAATGGTTGCTCTCCGTAGGCGAGCGGACGAGTACCGTGGCGGATGGCCCCTGGTGTTTTTGTCCACTGTGTGACGCAGAGTGTTGGACTGGATGGGCCATTGGCCTGATCCAACATTGGCGTCTCTTATGTTCTTATGTTCTTAAGTCACTGCTCAGTGTGTATCTGCTTTGCACATGGGGAGGTCTTCTCCTCAGTGCCCAGCACCTCCAGTTAAAAGGATCACGAGACGCGGGTGGTGGGCAAGACCGTTCTCTGCCCAAGATCTGGGGCAGAGTCAACATCTCACAGATGAAGGAACCAGTTATTTAAGTCAGCCTCTCTTGCGGAGACTCAAGGGGGGAGGGATTACATAGCGCAACTCAAGTACAGTCAACAGAACAGGACGTCCAATGAACAGTGAATTAGGGTTTCGGTTACAGAAGTCTGAAAACAAACAGCAATCTGAAACCAACCTGAAATAAAGCATAAGCATTAAAACATGATACGTCAATTGGTGTGGAAAGTACCTAGCCCGGAGCATGCTTACAGTGATAGGCGGCCATATAGTAGAAGAAGAAGAAAGAGAGATTGGGTTTATACCCCGCCCTTCACTCGGAGTCTCAGAGCGGCTTACAAACTCCTTTCCCTTCCCCTCCCCACAACAGACACCCTGTGAGGTAGGTGGGGCTGAGAGAGCTCTTTCGAGGACTGCTTTTGAGAGAATGGCTCTTGTCAGAACTGTGGCTTGCCCAAGGTCATACCAGCAGCTGCACGTGGAGGAGTGGGGAATCAAACCTGGCTCTCCCAGATTAGAGTCCGCGCTCCTAACCACTACACCAAACTGGTGTATAGGTCATAGTCTCTATTCCTTTACCAGTGCAATTTTCTGACCATTTCATTACAGCGTACGCCTGTTGACCTGTACCAAAAAGCCCTCCTGAATAATTCAAGCTTGCACAGTTTTCAGGAAGCCAAGAGGATGAGAGCCTTCCTAACCTTGTCAGGGAGCCCACTGCGTCAGGTGGAGGTTACAACTAGGGTTGCCAGCTCCGGGTTGGGAAATTCCTGGAGATTTGGGGGGTGGGGCCCGTGCTCTAAGCTGTGGAGTCTTGTGAGCAAAAATTCTACTTTGTGAGCGACCGGAATAGAGATATGAAGGCCTGGGCGGGAAATCTGAAAAATTAGGGGGAAAACCGTTTCCCCCCCGTTTTTTTCCTGAAGCCTTTTTTGTTTTTTTCCGAAAAATTGAAAAAAGAAAAGAAAAAAAAATGATTATGGAACATTTTATTTTAACATGATGAATAAAATATTTTAAGACAAGGTGTTCAAATATTTTCCAAATAATTTCTAAAAAATATGTATGGTGTCAGATTGATCTAATTTCTGTGCACTGAGGACAAGCAAGTCCTAAGTTACAAACTGAACTCTCCAATGCAAGAACAAGGTGCATTTCTTCCTTTGGAGGTGCTATTGTCACAAGAAAAGAAAAAGGTTTCAGTTTTGTTTTTGCATGTGGGTGGGTATTCTGTTTGTAATAATTGTTTGGATACACTATGTTTTTAATATGATAGTTGTGATAATTTCATGCCAAGAAAAAATGTCCATAGTCATATTTTATGTAACAGAATGACTTTCAATCTGGAAAAGAAAAAAGAAGTGCTAATGTAGCATTTTTTTCAATTTTTCCAAAATGTTCCGTTTCCCCCCCGGAAAAAAACGGGAAAAAACTGGGGGGTTTTCCGAGCTTCAAAATTTCCGGAAATTTTACATCTCTAGACTGGAATTAAAGTAGTGAACGAGCCATTTGCCTATGGCATTATTAGTTTGCTCTGGAGCCATCCTTCCTGAGCTAAGACAAAAAATGTGTGAGCCGGAGGCTAAAAAATCTGTGAGCTAGCTCACACTAACTCAGCGTAGAGGGAACACTAGACCGTGGGGCCTGGGGAGGTTGGGGAGGGACCTTAGTGGGGTATAATCCCATAGGAGTCCATCCTCCAGAGCAGCCATTTTCTCCAGGGGAGCAAATATCTGGGAGCCAGTTTGGTGTAGTGGTTAAGAGTGTGGGGACTCTAATCTGGAAGAACCGGGTTTGATTCCCCACTCCTCCACATGCAGCTGCTGGTGTGACCTTGGGCCAGTCACAAGTTCTCACAGAGCTGTTCTCTCAAGGGCAGTTCTCGAGAGAGCTCTCTCAGCCCCACCTACCCCACAGGGTGTCTGTTGTGTGGAGGCGAAGGGGAAAGGAGTTTGTAAGCCACTCTGAGACTCCTCTAGGTAGTGAAGGGAGGGATATAAATCCAATCTCCTCTTCTTCTTCTGGTCTGGAGATCAGCTGTGATTCCAAGAGCTCTCCAGGCCTCCCAGGGAGGGTGGCATCCCAAGCTACAACGCTGATCCAGCGGTGCAGGGCAGCTCCAGACGCCTGTTCTCACCCTTCCTTCTGTCCCATTTTCTCCTTTTTCCCGGCAGAGTGTCTCCCATCAGCGAGAACCAGGTCCCGTCGAGCGAGGGTTACGTTCTTTTCTACGAGTTGGACGACGCGCACTGGAAGAAGCAGTGAAAGTATGGAGCCCAGCACTTCGGCCTGCCCGCCCTCTTACCTCAGAGACTGGTGCTCGGGTCTGTTATTTAAAAGGAAAAAAAGAGAAAAGCAACAAAAAAAACACAAACCTAACAACAAAATGACACTGTGTGCGGCTTGTTTCTAAGACTGACCCGGTTTATCCGCCCACTCCTACATATATCCCCTCATGTATAATTTCCCCCCCCTCCTGTCGTATTTTTGAGGCAAAACCAGGGAGGAGAAGGGGGGCGCCTGGATCAGGGTCGCGGGTCCACCAGGTGACGGTTAAAGCATGGGGGTCCGGAGGGGTCTTTCAGGGGTCCGGAGATCCCGACTGTTCATCCCCTGTGCCCCCTCCCCGCCAACTAACGCCCCCTTCTCCCCCACTCAGTCGGAGACGGCACCGACCACTACTGATTTTAACGACTCTGTGACTTTGTACATAAAGATGGCTTTGTACATAGGCGATGACTGGGAGAAAAAAAATGAAGAGGAAGAGATTTTTTTTGTGAATAAATTTACTAAAAAAACCAACAGCCCTCACCGGTATTTTTCTCATTTCTGTTTTGACAGGGCAGTGGGGGGTCTTTGGACCAGTGTTGACAGCACTGTAGAATTGCCCCTAGTGGCGGGGCAACATGGTTGACAATTTTGATGTCTGGAAGGGTGTGCCTCTGAGCATGGGCAGAGTGCTTTCTTCCTCCCCCCTCGGAGGGGGAAATAATCCGGAAGAGTCAAGGGTGCCTTACTAGATCCTAAGTACCTTTCTTCTGTGAAGGGAGCCAGCTTGCATTTACAAAGGAGAGAAAGAGTAGGTTTTTATATTTTTTATACCCCACTTTTCTCTGAGGAGTCTCAGCATGGAACAACTCAAAGAAACAGTACAAGATTGGAAAACACAGAGGGAGCTGGTCCATAGAATCGCCAAGAGTCAAACAGACTGACAGCTTGAACAAGAGTCAAACAGGACTGACAGCTTACAATCGCCTTTCCCTTCCTCTCCCCACAATAGGCACCTTGTGAGGCACCCTGTGAGGCAGGTGGGGCTGAGAGAGTCCTGAGAGAACTGGGACTGGCCCGAGGTCACCCAACAGGCCTCATGTGTCTCAAAGTGGCTTACAATCGCCTTTCCCTTCCTCTCCCCACAATAGGCACCTTGTGAGGCACCCTGTGAGGCAGGTGGGGCTGAGAGAGTCCTGAGAGAACTGGGACTGGCCCGAGGTCACCCAACAGGCCTCATGTGTCTCAAAGTGGCTTACAATCGCCTTCCCTTCCTCTCCCCACAAGAGGCACCTTGTGAGGTGGGTGGGGCTGAGAGAGTCCTGTGAGAACTGGGACTGGCCCAAGGTCACCTAGCAGGTTTCATGTGAAAGAGTGGAGAATCAAACCTGGTTCTTCAGATGAGAGTTGGCCGCTCTTGACCACTACACCACTCTGGCTGTCGTGGGAGTGTTGGATCCCCAAGCATCGAGAATAAATCCACGTTTTCAAGAAAAGCAAAATTTATTTCAAAGCGTTGAAGACATACTCAAACACGTTCTTTGTTAGAACTGGGGATACACAGGTAGGGCGAGCATAATAAAGGAAATTCAAACAGATACATATCCAATGAATAACATTCCCGCTGGCGGGCTAATGAAACGGTTGCGCGCCCAGTCCATGGGAACCAGGCAGAACATCAGACAAAACACAGGTGCAGTTCTCATGAGATAGCAATAGGCAAGCATTACAGCATCTTCTCCCCCACACATCCACCAGTAGTTATCTTATGCATTCCAGCACAGAAGCAGGATAGTAGAAACAAGCCGGGTGCAACAGGGTAAGGATATGTACACAGAGGTCACAGAAAACAGAATGGCAGCTTGCTGACAGGGAGTGAGCATACAGTCTGATCTCTGAGTATTCTGGACATGCCTTCCTCCTCTTGCAGGAGGAGGGGCAGTGGCTCAGTGGCAGAGGGCGTGCAGAACGTCCCAAGTTCAATCCCCGACATCTCCAGTTAAAAGACTTGGGTGTTTGGCGATGTGAAAGCCCATTCTCTGCCTGAGACCCTGGGGAGTTGCTGCCAGTCTGCCAGACAACACTGACTTGACAGACCGAGCATCTGAATCAGTACAAATTAGCTCATTTGTGAAACATGGTGCCTCTGACCATACGTAGAGCACTCTGACAGATTCAGTAGTTGTTAATACTGTTGATATGGCTGTTTTTAGCAAACCATGAAGCACCCATTTTTGCCTTTACCCACTCGAGTTTTCCCAGAAATCAGCTGGGCCAGTTCAGCAACTTCATCTCCTGATAAGAACAGGATGCTGGACTAGATGGACCGCTGGTCTGATTCAACAGGGCTGTTCTTATGTTCTTTCCATTATGTCTGACCAGGAGTTCTGTGTCACCTGGAAATTTGCACATTCCTTTTCCCTAAAAGACAATGCTTTGGGCTTTGTTTTGCTGTGAGTGTGAAGGCGGATAAGAGGTCGGGGCAAGTGTGTTTGAAAAATAGTTGATGTTGGTTGCTGGGGAAATTCTCACCAGGGCCCAATTAACATCTCTGTTCCCATGGGACAAAGGAAACCCCAGCAAAACTGTCTCCCTCTGGTTTCTTTACTGATCCTTTTGCTGAAGCTCTCTGGTGTGTTTATAAAAAGTTCTCCTCCCTGCGTGGTATCAGGTGACTTCTCTGAGATTCTTGCAAGCTAAACTATAATTGTCTTGGATACAGGGTGCAAGAAGTTCTAAGCTCCCTCCTTAGTTCCAGTGAAGAAATCCAAGGTCTTTGTAGTATCCTTTCTTACGACCAACCCAAACGATGTGAAAATAGGCGCAAGGGTTTGAGTTCTACAGAACTCTTCATCAGCCTGGATGTTGGTGGTGGTGGGTGGGGAAGTGAGCTCTTGGAGATCTCCAGCCCCTGCCTAGAGACGAAATACAAGGAACAATCACTGTGATGTATATAGGCTACTACACTTTATTTAGTGAAACTACATCTGATTTTCACAATTATCATTAACACAGAGAAATAACCATAACAACCCTTAAAATAATCTTATGTCACCATTTTCAACAGGGCTCATCCTTATATTATAAAACAAGACGAGTCACTAGTTGTAGACCCGTTTCGTGCTACAACTTCTTCAGAAGTTTTCATTCTTCATTAATTATCTTCCTCTTGTTGCTCGGTGGTTATCTTCCTCTTGTAGCAATTCAGCTTCTGCATCAGGAGCCAGCCAGCCAGTCCCTTTTGATAAGCAAGTACAAAACCACCTGTTTCACTGCTGGCAAAACACTCTCCCAAAGATACAAGCACCTGAATCTTCATGAAGGAAAAGGCTTCTCTAATTTTTATCAAGAGCATGCCAGCCTAATTTCTTTTCTTTTTTTATCATCTTTATTCATTTTAAATTTAAGCACAATACAGCGTAATACAGTGCATCCGTCTACAAGAATGTCATCTAAATGGAAGGGGTCTAAACCTACAAGGTTAACCACTTCAGATAAAGAGGGTTAGGGGGGAGAATATCTAGAATCTGTAAATAGGAGACAACAGGGAACCAAGCTGACACAAATGTGGAGTGGTGTGGGGTATCTGATTGTGCCTTTGTCCTGTAGCTGGCAAAGCATGCTCCTCTTTGGAGAAATTCAGAGATAGTTTTCCCTGGAAGGCCAGATAATGAAACTGAAGTTCAAATACTTTGGCCACCCAATGAGAAGGGAGCACTCCCTGGAGAAGACCCTGATGCTGGGAAAGACTGAAGGTCAAAGAAGACGGGGACGGCAAAGGATGAGATGGTGAGACAGTGTCATAGATGCAACGAACATGAAGTTCAGCAAACTTCAGAGGACGGCGGAAGATCGGAAGGCCTGGCGGGATCGGGTCCATGGGGTCGCAAAAAGTCGGACTCGACTGTGCGACTGAACAACAACAACATGTCACAGTGATTGTTCCTTGTATTTAGTATGTAATTTACACTGTGATCCCATCTCTTTGTTTTTCTGATTTGACCACCCGGATACTGGCAACTCTCATGGCAGAGTGGGGATGTGAATCTGGATTTCCCAGTTCCTCGTCTGACCGTATAACCGCCAGATCACACTGGCTTCCCTTTTATAATATTTAACATCTTTCTGCAAAAATTAGAATCATAGAATTGGAAGGGACCTCCAGGGTCATCTAGTCCAACCCCCTGCACAATGCAGGAAATCCACAAATACCTCCCCCCTCACACCCCCAGTGACCCCAGTTCCATGCCCAGAAGATGACAAAAAAATCTCCAGGATCCCCCAGCCAAACTGGCCTGGAGAAAAAATTGCTTCCTGACCCCAAAGTGGCGATCAGCATTTCCCTGGGCATGTAAGAAAGGGCCACGAGAACTAAGCACTGGTGCAACCCTTCCTGCCCTCCCTTCTCGTGATCTGCCTACATTCACAGAATCCGCATGGCTGTCGGATGGCCATCTAGCCTCTGTTTGAAAACCTCCAAAAAAGAAAAGCACACCACCTCCCGAGGAAACCTGATCCACTGAGGAATCGCTCTAATTGTCGGGAGGTTCTTCCTCATGTTTAGCCGAAAACTCTTCAGATTCAATTTTAACTCGTTGGTTCAAAGTACAGTGGTTTGTGTAATTAAAAAAAGGACACTAACATCAGTTGTCGTCCATCTCCCTCATCAGACTCAAGGCCAATTACAAAAATCAAAACCAGCAAGATGATAAAATGACTTTATATTCATAAAAATGCCCAAACAATTCCATTTTACACGTCCTGTGGAATGACAGTGGACGTGGTGCAAAACCTCACTGCCTTTCTTATTCCTGTTCTGAGCTTCCCGGCTCATCTCTGTTGTGTGTGTGAAAAAGGCATGTGTGTGTTTCTAATGCTTCGTTTCTAATTGCTTAAACTTCTTACAGGGGATTTTGTATTGTGGGGACTGCATCTAAGAGCAGGTGTAAAACTGCCAGTTCCAGGTTGGGAGATTCCTGGAGCTTTGGGGGTGGAGTTGGGGGAGGGTGGGGTTTGGAGAAAAAAGAAGAACCCAATGTCCCCTCTCATTTCCCCCCCTACTGAGTGGAGCAGTTCAGATCCTGAGCAGAATATAATTGCTGTGATCTTAAAATGGGCAGTGCAAGACCCTGTGTGGCTCCAGACTGCTGCTGAGCGGGGCTTCCTGTGTTAATGAGCGGCCAGTCACTCACTCGCACAGCTTAGAGTGGACAATGGACGGACCTCAGCAGGGTATAGAGCAGTGGTGGCGAACCTATAGCACAGGTGCCAGAGGTGGCACTCAGAGCCCTCTCTGTGGGCACGCATGCCATCGCCCCAGCCAGGCCCAGACCATCATTAAAGTGTCGAATTCTCTGCCAAATAATTTTAAGTAAATGAAAGCATTTGGGATTGCTTTCCTTACTTTGTTCAGCTCATCTTAAGTTAATGTATGAGTTGTTTTTTCTAAAGTAAAACAGTATTCAGATTAAATTGCCGTGTTGGCACTTTGCGATAAATAAGTGGGTTTTGGGTCACAGTTTGGGCACTTGGTCTCTAAAAGGTTCGCCATCACTGGTATAGAGCAACAGAATCCACCTTCCAAAGTTGCTATTTTTACCAGGAGAACTCTGTTGGCAGTTCTAATTCCCTGATATGTCCAGCCCCCACCTGGAGGTTGGCATGGCAGCAATCTTGGGTCTGTCTTGAAATCTATTTGCATCCTCTGCAAGTTAACCCAACGAATTGTGCGCTTTGTTTTCTATTTCACTTTAAAACTGTACAAGCTACAACCTGAGGGCTTCTTGGTCATATCCTGAAGCATCTTTCCTCTCCCACCATTTTTTTTTGTAGTGAATATTCAGCCTCCTGCAGTATTCTGCAGAAGTCAAAAGCTTGCTTCCTGTTTTATATTTGGTCCTAAGTGTTCCCTCTAAGTGGAGTTAGTGTGAGCTAACTCACAGTTTTTTAGCCTCCGGCTCACACTTTTTTGTCTTCGCTCAGGAAGGAGGGTGCCAGAGCAAAATGATTTATGCAGCAGCCAAATCGCTCACTCACAACTTTAATGCCAGGAGCTCACAAAGTAGAATTTTTGCTCACAAGGCTCCGCAGCTTAGAGGGAGCATTGGTCCTAATGAAGTTTTTAAAAAATACTCTGTGGATCATATTTTGCTTGATTGTCCCAAATGTTCAGCTCTCGGAGGTGAACTGATCTCCCCTTTATTTAATCAGGACTTCCTCTCCCCAGAAGCAAAATCATCCTGGTTACTTAAGAGACGAAGACAAACAAACTACCCTGCCTGTGACAAAATTGCTAGCAGCTGTTGTCAAATCAGGCGACAACTTTTGCAGTAGCAACCTTTAAATTCTTCCATGTTTTCCTGTGGAACGAGGTTTATTGTGGGATGAGGGTTTGCTGTTTATGACTCCGGGTGCAACAACTGTAAAGACAGTAAATAAAGTACTGGCATACTACCCCTGTATGCTGAATTTTCCTTGCAGGCTTTATATAATATATGCATGCACTTCTTCAAGCACAGGAAAACTTATACTCAGAATTAAACTTTGTTGGTCTTCAAGGGGCCACTGGACTGAAGAAGTGTGCATGCAAACGAAAGTTTATACCCCGAATAAAAACTTTGCTGGTCTTAAAGGTGCCACTGAGCTCCAACTTTGTTCAACAGGCATAGTTCACCTAGGCACAGAGATGAGGGAAGCTGCCCCAGGTGAATTTCTGCTTGGAATTGAGCTCTTAAAGGCACAGGAATCCTGAAAAGGACGAGAGAGCAAAGACTGGCAACCTTTTACCCCTAAAAAAAAGAGTTTGCTCGTTTTTACTTGCTTATTCTGTTTTCTTCCCCAGCATCCTCGAAGCCTCTAACAGAGCCTCCGTTCATTTAAACCTTTGCTGGGTCGGGTTTCTGGATGCCACGCCTATATCCCACCAAGCCCCGCCCATTAGCGAAGAGCCGCGCGAAACGGAAGTTCTGCTGTCCACTCGCCCCGCCTTCCCTACCGTCTTGGCCGCGCCCCTTTCACCCTAGAGCCATCTGATTGGCTACGAGACAGTCAACGCCCTGAGCTATGCGTCATCATTCCAATTAGCCAATCCCAGCAGGAGGGGTGGGTGGAGTGTGGAGTTCAGCTGGAAGACGGAGGCGCTGCTGCCGAGTGCGGGAACCCAAGTTCAGGGGGACGGCGCGTTACGATGCGTGCATCGGATCGGTTTACGTGTGAATGCAGCCATAAGCGGCGATCGAGGCGATATTAATATTTGGTTCCCCGGTTAATATTTGCCAGATTGTGCTGTAAGGTTGGTGGTTTCTCTTGGGACGGGGTTAGGCGGGGAACTTGGGGGGCGGGGTCATTCTGGGTTTAGGAGATCCAAGGGGTCAGCATTGCCGAGATCCCTTGTAAAGCAAAGGGCCTGCTCCCCATGTGTGAGTGACCCATTGGGGTGGGAGGGGAGCTGTTGAGAGGCGAGGAGGCCTTTCTTCTCTGGAGAGGTTGATCTTGGTAAGGTTGGGGGTACTGAGAATTGCTCCTGAGGTTCAGGCAAAGGAACAGGCAGGGGCCGGGGTTTGCAATATGCAGAGCCTGAAGGGAAAGCCCCCTCTGAACAAGCCCTGTTCACACGTTACAGTGAACGCCCGTTCATCTTGCCTGTACATCTGTTTCTAAGAAGGAAGGTAACATGCTTTAGAAATGAAACGGGGGACCAATACCTGGATAAATGTGCAACTTAAATCACACATTCAGTTGGGGGCAGTGTTCCCTCTCAGCTGAGTTAGTGTGAGCTAGCTCACAGTTTCTCAGCCTCTGGCTCACACATTTTTGTCTTAGCTCAGAAAGGATCGCTCCAGAGCAAACTAATTTATGCAGCAGCCAAATGGCTCGCTCACAACTTTAATGCCAGTAGCTCACAAAGTAGAATTTTTGCTCACAAGACTCCACTGCTTAGAGGGAACATTGGTTGGGGGTGTGTGTGTTGACTCTCACCATGAAAAATACTCAACTCATGTATGAAAAAAGATTGAGCGTGTACCGGAAATGAATTATACCTGCGTTCATTGCAAACTTTTATTCACTGGGCCAGAGTCAAGCAGGGAAGGGGGCTGAAGATAAAGAGGAAGGGGGGAGCAGAGAAGATTCAGCAGTGGGGGACTGAGTGTTGAAGGACTCATCTGGAGACCCTTAATTCAGGTTGAGTGATATATTGAATATTCCTTAGCCACCTCTCTGTGCTCTGGACGGTAGTGACTGGTGGATTCTTTGTAACGGATATTTCCCCCCATTTATTCTGTCAGGTGAAGCGAGAATAGTAGACCATGGTGTTAATTGCAGCCATGACGCTGGGACTCGCTTTGCATTTGTTAACCTGGAGTGAGCAGTGTGTGCTTTATAAGGTTACCAACTCCAGGTTCGGAAGTTCCTGGAGATTTGGGGGTGGAGCCTGGGGAGGGACTTCAGCAGGGTGAAGAACAGAACAGAATGTAAACCTGCACTTAGATGTACCGTTTGGGTGAAACCTGTTTTTGGTAATCTTTGACACCAGTATTTATATAACAGTATAGAAAAATAAAAAAGCACAGAGTTGATCTACCTTAAACATACATCTGTTATACACAGTGCTATATACTTTTGCGTATCTTCCTAACATTGTGACGCTCAGTTTTTGTATTTCCCATCCGGAGGCTGCCAACCCCGTTTGTGCGCCTGGCCCAAGAGCAGGGAGGTGATGAAGCCAGGGTAGTGGTGATGCCATTTTACCGAGGGGAAGAGACCTGGGGGCAGAGAGGCGAATTATGGACTCTGTGGACCTTTTCAGTGTTGTGGGGCTGCGGCTGTCCCTCTCCTGCCCCTGAGAGTAGTGGTTAAGTGCGCGGACTCTAATCTGGGAGAACCGGGTTTGATTCCCCACTCCTCCACTCGCACCTGCTGGATAACCTTGGGCAAGCCATAGTTCTGATAAGAGCTGTTTTTGAAAAAGAGCCGTTTCTGTCAGAGCTCTCTCAGGCCCACCTACCTCACAGGGTGTCTGTTGTGGGGAGGGGAAGGGAAAGGAGTTTGTAAGTCGCTCTGAGACTCCCTTGGGTAATGAAGGGCGGAGTGTAAATCCAATCTCCTCTTCTTTTACCTCACAGGGCGTCTGTTGTGTGGAGGGGAAGGGAAAGGAGTTTGTAAGCTGCTCTGAGACTCCTTTGGGTAGTAAAGGGCGGGATATAAATCCAATCTCCTCTTCTTTTACCTCACAGGGCGTCTGTTGTGTGGAGGGGAAGGGAAAGGAGTTTGTAAGCCGCTCTGAGACTCCTTTGGGTAGTGAAGGGCAGGGTATAAACCCAATCTCTTCTTCTTCTTCTTTCCTTCTGCTCAGCTTCCTTCTTACTCTCTAGGCTCCCGATGCAGCGGACGGTGGCTGTCCTTGGTGGCGGGGTGAGCGGCCTGGCTGCCTGCTACTACCTGGCCAGAAGCCACCAGGCACCCAAGGTGAGAGCCTCCCCACCTATAGGGTAGCTGTGCGCTGGGAAGTCGAATCAAAATGGCCCTAGGGGAGCACTGTCTGCCCCACTGAGGAAATTTTCATGTGGAGTTCTCAACAGGTAACCAGAGGGTTGAAAAAAGAAGAAGAAGAAATATCAAGGTCAATTCCAGAAAAAACTAAAATTATATTAAATTGTATGTGTGTTAAGTGCCGTCAGATTGCTTCCAACTTATGGTAACCATGAATTAATGTCCTCCAAAACGTCTTATCATTAACAGTCTTGCTCAGGTCTTGCAAACCGAGGGACCTGACTTCCTTAATGGAATCCATCCATCTCCTGTTGGGTCTTCCTCTTCTCCGGCTGCCTCCAACTTTTCATAGCATTATTGTCTTCACCGGTGACTTTTGTCTTCTTTTAACATGGCCAAAGTATGATAGACTCCCGCTAGTCATTTAGTTATATTAAATCACAGAAGCTTTAATCAAATTGTAAATGTTAAAAAAAAACCTGTGCATAAAAATTCATCAATTTTAGTTACGTATATAGGTACTTTCCCCTAGTGTCATTTTTTGTGTGTGTAAAATTGCACTTATACACATGGGGATATCACACAGTTACAAGTGTCAGCGTCTTTCCTATGACCATGTACAGCCATTGATAACCTAAAATACATGTACACCAAACATTTTTTGGCTGCAAGGCCTTTCTTAGTGGTTTAAATTTTAACAATGCACACATAGAATCACAGAGTTGGAAGGGGAAATAGAGACCATCTAGTCCAACCCCCTGCTCAGTGCAGGATCAGCCTACAGCATCCCTGACGAGTGTTTGTCCAGCTGTTGCTTAAAGGCTGCCAGTGAGGGGGAGCTCGACGCCTCCCTGGGCAGCCCATTCCACTGTTGAACTACTCTTACTGTAATTTATTTTTTCAATTTTCACAAATACACCATACAGTGTCCTTGTTAAAATTACAACATGCCTGACCGAATCACTGAACATCCAGGTTTGAAAAACGTTTACGTGGAGCTTGTATCGCTCTCTGTTGTTATAATTTATTAGGACCACTGGAAATAATTTTCCAGATGGTAGCTGTTAGTCATCCAAATTTCTCTATAAACCAGGTCAGGATAAAGCCTTGCCCAAAGGTGGCTCAAGTGGTTAAGACGCTGAACTGCGGGCTGTGGAAGGTCAGTAGTTCAGCAGTTCGAGACCCGGGTGCCACAAGACGGAGTGAGCTCCCGTCTCTAGTTCCAGCTCCTGCCAACCTAGCAGTTCGAAAGCAAGAAATTGCAAGTAGATAAATAGGTACCACTTTGGTGGGAAGGTAACAGCGTTCCGTGCGCGTTGGTGTTTAGTCATGCCGGCCACATGACCACGGAAACGTCTTCGGACAGCGCTGGCTCTTCGGCTTTGAAACGGAGATGAGCACTGCAACCCTAGAGTCGGATTCGACTGGCTTTCGAGCAAGGGAACCTTTACCTTTTTAAAGGTGGTATAGCCACCTACAGGAAACCATATGCCCCCCAACAGGACCACTAGCACCCCCGGGGCCATTTCAGGTTGGGAAAACAGGACAGGGGAAGGCAGAGACCCCTTTTCTCTGTACACTCTGGTCCTGATCCTAGCTGGGCCCACTATATTTGGGAGCAGAGTTCCCAAGAGGAAACTCAATCACACGTCGGGTTGTGCATACCTTGGGAGGAACCAGGGGAAAACAACCTACATTTTTAGGGACACACCCACTGGAAAAAATGAAATGTGTGAACCTTCTTTCTCCTAAATCAAAATAATTGCTAATCTAGCTCACCCTACCCTGGATGGTCCAGGCCGCCCAATCATGTCAGATAACGGAAGCTAAGCAGGGTCAGCCCCAGTTAGCACTTGGATGGGGGACCACCAAGGAAGTCTAGGGGTTGCTCTGCAAAGGCAGGGGAGCGTGAAACACCCCTGCTTGTCTCTTGCAGTGTGTGCTTAATAAGGCTGCCAACTCCAGGTTGGGAAGTTCCTGGAGATTTGGGGGCAGAGCCTGTGGAGGGACCTCAGCAGGTTGAAGAACAGAACAGAATGTAAACCTGCACTTTGATGTACCGTTTGGGTGAAACCTGTTTTTGGTAATCTTTGACACCAGTATTTCTGTAACAGTATAGAAAAATAAAAAAGCACAGAGTTGATCTACCTTAAACATACATCTGTTAGACACAGTGCTATATACTTTTGCGTATCTTCCTACCACTGTGATGCTCAGTTTTTGTATTTCCCACCTGGTGGCTGGCAACCCTGTTCGTGCACCTGGCCCAAGAGCAGGGAGGTGATGAAGCTAGGGTGGCGGTGACGCCATTTTACCCAGGGGAAGAGAACTGGGGGCAGAGAGGTGAATTGTGGGCCTGGGGCTGTGGCTGTCCCTGCCCTGTCCCTTTCCTGCTGCTCAGCTTCTTACTCTGGGGTCACCATAGGTTGGCTGACACTTGATGACACTTTCCACCCAAACCAGTGTACCTCAGTATTCTCTCCTCTTACTGACAGCAGCTGTACATGAGCGAAGGCTTCTTCATGTCACTTTCTGTCTGAGGCCCTTTAAATGGAAATGCAAGGCACTGAGCCTGGGACCTTCTGCGCGCAAAGCAGATGCTCTGCCACTGCGTCACGTAAGCCTTGTACAGGTCACAGGTGCGCATCTGTGCTAAGTGTTCCCTCTAAGCTGAATGAGTGTGAGCTAGCTCACAGTTTTTTAGTCTCCAGCTCACACATTTTTGTCTTAGCTCAGGAAGGAGGGCTCCAGAGCAAACTGACTTATCCAGCAGCCAAATCGCTCATGCACAACTTCAATGCAAGCAGCTCACAAAGTAGAATTTTTGCTCACAAGACTCCACTGCTTAGAGGGAACATTGGTCATGACTGTGCACTGGGTGCTGGGTCCTTCTGTGTACACATTGTGCCTACAAACTCATGTGCATAGACGTTGTGCTCCTATTCAGGAGACCTTCTTTTGAAACATACTCTGTTGTGGGGACTGAGCCTTACACGTACAGTTTGTACACGCCTTGGTGTGTGCCCACATGGGGACGACACAGGTAGATAGGCGCTCGGGGGAAGAGTGAAGCCAGGGTGTCTGCTTCACAGCAACATATAACTGGAAAGGACCTCAAAAGGACATCAAGTCCAACCCCCTGCTCAGTGGAGGAAATTCACAGCTACTACCCCGGTGGCTCCTGTTCTAGGCCCACAGGAAGGCAAAAAACCTCCAGGATCCCCGGGCCAATCTGGCCTGGAGGAAAATTCCTTCCTGACCCCAAAGTGGCAATTGGCATTACCCTGGGCAGGTAAGAAAGGACCACGAGAGCCAAGCACTGATGCACCCCTTCCTCTTGCTATTCACGTAAGTCCACAGAATCAGCATTGCTGTCAGATGGCCATCTATCCTCTGCTTTAAAACTTCCAAAGAAGGAGAACTGACCACCTCTCCATCAAGCCTGTTCCACTGAGGAACTGCTCTTAACTGTCAGGCAATTCTCCCTAATGTTTAGACGAAAACGCTTTCAATTTGATTTCAATCAATAGGCTTCTGTACGTTGTACGTACTGGTTTCTAGCTGTGTGTGCAGTTGGGCGTATTGTAATGCACAAGAATGGTGCTCAGCATTTCCCAAAAGCATGCAGGCGTCCTGTGGATCCTAACAGCCCAGCACCACCAGGAATGCTCAGCCTCTAAGCAGAGTTTAGAAACCTCATGCAACGGCCACGCAATAATTATGTAACTCCGAGTGGGAGCGAATGTTGTCTCCGAAGGTTTTATGAAATCAGCAACCAAACCTGTTGATCCAGAATCCCCCCCCCCAACTTAGTTGCTTCCAGAAAGATAGGTTCAGGTGGGTAGCCCTGTTGGTCTGAAGCAATAAAATAAAGTTTGAGTCCTGCGGCACCTTTAAGACCAACAAAGTTTAATTCTGGGCAGGGCTATTTTTGGACAGGAACGGAGTTCTGGCTGGCGCCCAAGCTGGCCACGCCCAGCAGGAACTCATTAGCATAATAGGCCACACCCAACAGCAGAAACTCATTAGGATTGGCTACATTAGGGGTGTGTGGCCTAACATGCAAAGGAGTTCCTGCTACAAAAAAAGGCCCTGGGTTTTGAGAACAAACAAGGTAAACAGAATAAGAAGCAAACGGTGGGTGTGGCTGGATAACCACACTTCTGGTAACATGGGGGTGCGGCCTAATGTGCTAATGATCACACAGGGTGTGGCCTAATATGCTAATGAGTTTCTGCTGTTGGGTGTGGCCTATTATGCTAATGAGTTCCTGCTGGGCTTTTTCTACAAAAAGAGCCCTGAGAATTTCTGGGTATAAGCTTTTGTGTTTATGCACACTTCATCAGATAATGCAAGCTCATAGCTAACTTTTGGCGAGATGTTTTCCTACAAATAGAACTCATCACAGACTACTTAATACCATTCTCTCCTGAATTAATACTCCTGTGTTGGTTCAATAAAGTATGGGACCATTTCATCATGGAAAAAATTACAGATCACATCCAACAGTCGGAAATATACCCTAAATGATCTAACTTTATGGAAAAATGGTCCCCATTTCTTGAATACGTTATGGCAACTGACTGCCAACCACACAATCCAACATACTACTCTTAATTCACATTAGGTGTTCTTGTTTGTATCATACCTCTAACACATCACTTGTAGAAGGCGTAATACTCAGTCGTAAACATAATAGCCGCTATTGTAGATCTAGCCAGTTTGGTGTAGTGGTTAAGTGTGCAGACTCTAATCTGGGAGAACCGGGTTTGATTCCCCACTCCTCCACTTGCACCTGGCTGGATGACCCTGGGCAAGCCGTAGTTCTGTCAGAGCTGTTCTTGAAAAAGAGCAGTTTCTGTCAAGAGCTCTCTCAGCCCCACCTACCTCACAGGGTGTCTGTTGTGGGGAGGGGAAGGGAAAGGAGATTGTAAGCCGCTCTGAGACACCTTTGGGTAGTGAAGGGCGGGGTACAAATCCAATCTCTTCTCTTCTTCTTTTACCTCGCAGGGTGTCTGTTGTGGGGAGGGGAAGGGAAAGGAGTTTGTGAGCAGCTCTGAGACTCCCTTGGGTAGTGAAGGGCAGGGTATAAATCCAATCTCTTTTCTTCTTCTTTTACCTCACAGGGTGTCTGTTGTGGGGAGGGGAAGGGAAAGGAGTTTGTAAGCCGCTCTGAGACACCTTTGGGTAGTGAAGGGCGGGGTATAAATCCAATCTCTTCTCTGTCTCTTCTTCTACATCTGTGATTTACTGCCGTAGTCGAGCTCACTCATCATTTTCACCATGGCAATATATACCTAGATCCTGCTTATTTAACGTATTTTACCTTATCAGTAATGTTTGTTTGTTCCGATGTCTTGAAAGTACGGTTCGTTCTGTAATACTAGTTTTTGTCATATGCAACTGCACAATGGTTCGAAATTGCATCGATTGACATTTTCATCAATAAAATTAATTTTTTTTAAAAAAAGTGTGCATGCACACAAAAGCTTATACTCAAAATTAAACTTTGTTGGTCTCAAGGCAAGTGATTAAGCAGAGGTGCTTTGCCATTGCCTTCCTCTCCAGAGTCTTTCTTGGAGGTCTCCCTGCTTAGCTTCTGAGATCTGACAAGATTGGGCTAAGCCATGCCTCCTGCTTTCCCTGAAAATCATGTTTACCCCAGAGTAAGTCCTACTGAGTTCAGTGGGGTATCCTTCAAACTAAGCGTGGAAAGGATTGCAGCAGGGCTTTTTTTGTAGAAAAAGCCCAGCAGGAACTCATTAGCATATTAGGCAACACCCATGACAGCACAGCTCATTAGCATATTAGGCCACACCCCCGTGTTACCAGAAGCGTGGTCATCCAGCCCACACCCACCTTTTGCTTCTTATTCTGTTTACCTTGTTTGTTGTCAAAACCCAGGGCTTTTTTTGGAGCAGGAATTCCTTTGCATGTTAGGCCACACACACCTAATGTAGCCAATCCTAATGAGTTCCTGCCGCTGGGTGTGGCCTATTATGCTAATGAGTTCCTGCTGGGCGTGGCCAACTTGGGAGCCAGCCGGAACTCCGTTCCTGTGCGTTCCTGCCCAAAAATAGCCCTGGATTGCAGCAGAACACAAGCTGCTGAAGCACTCCTGTGTCTGGAGGGTCATTTCTGGTTGCTGACGCTCTTTCGCTCTTCCTCTCCTCCAACCAGGTCATTCTCCTGGAAGGAAGCAGCCGTCTCGGAGGCTGGATCCATTCCACGCGTACAGAGGATGGGGCAGTTTTTGAGCATGGGCCCAGAGGGATCCGTCCTGCTGGAGCTGTGGGGAAAAACACCCTACTTATGGTGAGTTTGGAAGGGGGGTTTATCAAAGGACAGTCGGTGAGTTCTGCCCGCCTCTGATAATCTGTTGCCGGTGAAGCACCAGCTAATGCTTACTGGGGAAATGGAATATTTAACGGAAAGTAAACGTGATGTGGTGGTTAGAGCAGGGGTCCCCAACATGGTGCCTGTTTGGGCACCAAGCTGCCCACCGTCCCCTTTTCTGGCGCCTGCCAAGGTTTTTTAGGAAGTGGGTGGGGCCAGGTAGGTCTTTTGTCCAGCCAGGCTTCTGATTGGACACTGGAGACTTGATTGGCTGTGCAGATTTTTTAACAATGTTGCTTTGGCAGCAGTGGCCTTCACGGCCCAAGGATCTACACTGTGTGACTGAAGTTAAGCTGTGGCGGCCATTTTTGTGTCTGGCTCTGCCTGCTGTGGCGGCCATTTTGAGGCAGCCACTTTGTTGCTGTGGCCACCATGCTGCGTCAGAATTCCAGCTGTGCCCACAGGCTCAGAAAGTTTGGGGACCCCTGGGTTAGTGTGCCAGACAAAGATCTTGGAGACCCAGGTTTGCATCCCCGCTCTGTGATGGAAGCTTGCTGGCTGATCTTGGGCCACTTCCGCACTCTGAGACCCACCTTCCTCACAGGGTTGTTGTAGTTGTGAGAAAATGGAGGAGAGGAAGAAGAAGAAAAAGAAGAGATTGGATTTATACGCTACCCAAAGGTGTCTCAGAGCGGCTTACAAACTCCTTTCCCTTCCCCCTCCCCACAACAGATACCCTGTGAGCAATGCTCCCTCCAAGCTGTGGAGTCTTGTGAGCAAAGATTCTACTCTGTGAGCTACTGTCATTAAAGTTGTGAGTGAGCGATTTGTCTCCTGCATGAATTAGTTTGCTCTGGAGCCGTCCTTCCTGAGCTAAGACAAAAATGTGTGAGCCGGGGGCTAAAAAACTGTGAGCTAGCTCACACTAACTCAGCTTAGAGGGAAAACTGATCCTGTGAGGTAGGTGGGGCTGAGGGAGCTTCTTCGAGGACTGCACTTGAGAGAACACCTCTGGGTGAACTTGTGACTGACCCAAGGTCACACCAGCAGCTGCATGTGGAGGAGTGGGGGAATCAAACCCGGTTCTCCCAGATTAGAGTCCACGCTCCTCACCACTACACCAAACTGGAGAGCAAGATAAGCCAATCTGGATGGGAGAAAGGTGGGGTATAAAGGAAATACACATCTTAACTCCTAGGCGTGTGCTTATAAAACGGAGAAACTCCTTGACATCAGTACCCATTACTAGCAGCATGCTTCATTCAGTGCTTGCCGCTTGCATAGGTCTTCTCCCCCTTCTCCCAGTTGAAGTGCGTTATGTAATTCCTGACCAGGGTGTTATTGTCTTCTCAGATGGTTGTGTAGCCATCAGTTACCGCCCTGGGATGTTTCTCGCTGTTATAGCCTCCTAAGAGAATGTCCCTTGTCTCTTTTTTCATTTTTACTTCCAGCCCATATAATTTTTAATCTGTGTTGGAATCATAAGAACATAAGAACACAAGAGACGCCAATGTTGGATCAGGCCAAAGGCCCATCCAGCCCAACACTCTGTATCACACAGTGGCCAGAAATACCAGGTGCCACCAGGAGGTCCACCAGTGCGGCCAGGACATTAGAAGCCCTCCCACTGCTGCCCCCACCCCCAAGCACCAAGAAGACAGAGCATCACTTGCCCCAGAGTCCCTATCTATACCTTGTGGCTAATAGCCACTGATGGACCTCTGCTCCATATGCCCATCTAATTCCCTTTTGAAGCCGTCCACGCTTGTAGCCGCCACCACTTCCTGTGGCAGTGAATTCCAAGTGTTAATCACTCTTTGGGTGAAGAAGTACTTCCTTTTATCCGTTCTAACCTGACCGCTCAGCGATTTCATAGAGTGCCCACGAGTTCTTGTATTGTGAGAAAGGGAGAAAAGTACCCCTTTCTCTACCTGCTCTTTCCCATGCATAATCTTATAAATCTCAATCATGTCCCTATCTATCCTAGAGTTGGAAGGGATCTCCAGGGTCATCTAGTCCAACCCCCTGCACAGTGCAGGAAATTCACAAATACCTCCGCCCCCAGGGACCCCTGTTCCACTCCCAGAAGATGACAAAAAACCTCCAGGATCCCCGGCCAAACTGGCATGGAGAACAATGGCTTCCTGACCTCAGAGTGGTGATCAGAATTTCCGTGGGCATGTAAGAAAGGGCCACAAGAACTAAGCACTGAGGCAACCCTCCCTGCCCTCCCTCTCATGTTCCACGTAAATTCACAGAATCGGCATGGCTGTCAGATGGTCACCGAGCCTCTGCTTGACAACCTCCAAAGGAGGAGAGCCCACCACCTCCCCAGGAAGCCTGCTCCACTGAGGAACTGCTCTAGCTGTCAAGAAGTTCTTCCTAATGTTTAGGCAAAAACTCTTTGATTTAATTTCAACCCGTTGGTTCTGATCCGATCTTCTGGGGCAGCAGAAAACAACTCCGCACCATCCTCTAAATGACAGCCCTTCAAGTACTCGAAGATAAGAACATAAGAGATGCCAATGTTGGATCAGGCCAAAGGCCCATCCAGTCCAGCACTCTGTGTCACACAGTGGCCAGAAATACCAGGTGCCACCAGGAGGTCCACCAGTGGGGCCAGGACATTAGAAGCCCTCCCACTGTTGACCCCCCCAAGCACCAAGATGACAGAGCATCACTTGCCCCAGAGTCCCTATCTATACCTTGTGGCTAATAGCCACTGATGATCGTATCACCTCTCAGTCGTCTCCTCTCCAGGCTAAACATCCCCTGCTCCTTCAACCTTTCCTATGATACATGACCAGTGAACTTCTCTGTACTGTGCTAACAGGGCCCCGATTCTTCTGTAGGTCTCTGAACTTGGCCTCGAAGCAGATGTCCTTCCCGTCCGTGGGGACCACCCGGCCTCCAAGAACCGGTACCTCTATGTCGGTGGGTCCCTGCACAGACTCCCCTCTGGGATTAGGTAGGTTAATTTCCCACGAACCCTGGGGGGTGGCTTTGAGTAAATTTGGGGATCAGTGGGGCAAGCCCCCTTTTCCTAAGCACCTTTGCTGTGTTTTGCCTGGGTTCCAGTGGCCTTCTCCGGACGGTCCCACCTTTTACTCGCCCCCTGGTTTGGAGTGGGCTGAAAGACCTGATGGCCCCCCGTGGCTCTGAGGCGGATGAGAGCATTCACGCCTTCGTGGGGCGCCGCTTTGGCCAGCAGGTACTTGCCATGTGTTCCAAACCTTGCCCGCTTGGGAGAACGGTCTGTTGGTGGCTACTGATAACTAAATAACTGAGAGCCAATTTGGTGTCGTGGTTAGGAGCGTGGACTCTAATCTGGGAGAACCGGGTCTGATTCCCCACTTCTCCACATGCAGCTGCTGGTGGGACCTTGGGTCAGTCACAAGTTCTCTTAGAGCTGTTCCCTCAAGGACAGTTTCTGTCAGAGCTCTCTCAGCCCCACCTACCTCACTGGGTGTCTGTTGTGGGGAAGGGGAGGGAAAGGAGATTGTAAACCGCTCTGAGTGAAGGGTAGGGTATAAATCCTCTCCTCCTCCTCTCTTAAATGGAACCTCCTGGTTCAAAGGCATCCTGCCTCTGAATAGCAGTTGTTGGGGGAACGAATGACAGGGGAGAGCTGTTTTGTTCACGCTTTGTTAGCAGACTTCCCAGATGGATCTGATTGGCAATTACGTGAAACCGGCTTTTTTTGAACCAGATCCGTGGTCGTATTGTCTGCTCGGACTGGCAGCAGCTCTCAGAGTCTCAGACTTTCACATCACCTCCTCACTGATCTCTTTAATTGAAGATGCCGAGGATTGAACCTGGGACTTTCTGCATGCCAAACGGATGCTCTGCCACTGAGCCACAGCCACTCCCAGCCATTGTGGCACCAGGATTCTGGGCTAGATATCTCACATCCGGGATCCTATAGATTTCTTTATGGGCTGTGGTAGGAGAACAGAGAAGTGGCAGGTGATGCAATTTGCCTTCCTTGGTTCTTCACAGGCCACGGCAAAGTGGAGCTAGTGGGCTTTTGAGAGATGGAGGAGGATAAGCAACCAGTGTCATAAGGACATAAGAGTCCTGATGGATCAGACCAGTGGCCCATCTAGTCCAGCATCCTGCCTCACACAGTGGCCCCAACCAGTTCCTCTGGAGGGCCAACAACAGGGCAGAGAGGCCGAGGCCTTCCCCTCATAAGGACATCAGAAGAGCCCTGCTGGGTCAGACCAGTGAGGGTCCATCTAGTCCAGCATCCCGTCTCCCACAGTGGCCTCAGCCAGTTCCTCTGGAGGGCCAACAACAGGGCAGAGAGGCCGAGGCCTTCCCCTCATAAGGACATCAGAAGAGCCCTGCTGGGTCAGACCAGTGCGGGTCCATCTAGTCCAGCATCCTGCCTCACACAGTGGCCCCAACCAGTTCCTCTGGAGGGCCAACAACAGGGCAGAGAGGCCGAGGCCTTCCCCTCATAAGGACATCAGAAGAGCCCTGCTGGGTCAGACCAGTGCGGGTCCATCTAGTCCAGCATCCTGCCTCACACAGTGGCCCCAACCAGTTCCTCTGGAGGGCCAACAACAGGGCAGAGAAGCCGAGCCCTTCCCCTCACAAGAACATCAGAAGAGCCCTGTTGGATCAAACCAGTGAGGGTGCATCTAGTCCAGCATCCTGCCTCACACTGTGCCCAACCAGTTCCTGTGGATGGCCAGTATTGGGGCATAGAGGCCAAGGCCTTCCCCTGATGTTGCATCCTGGTTCTACGATTCAGAGGCTTAGTGCCTCCAAATGTGGAGGTTCCCCTCAGTCACTATGGCTGGCAGCCATTGATAGACTTACCCTCCATGAATCTACCTAATCCCCTTTTATCTCCTGCTGGTATTGTGACTACAGGGTTGCCATGTTTCCCCTCTGGCTCTGCTCACGTGCATTTAACAGCAGCCTGGCATGCAGAAACCTCAGAGGGGAAGATCTTCCTGCCAAGGTGAATATACAGTGCAGGGAGTTCCACCGGCTTCGTTTCTAGAGCTGTTAAAGGCACGGAAGCCAGGCCAGGGGAAAAGATACTTTGCAACCCTATGGAGGGAGGGAGGTAAGAAAAGCTCCCATTCCCCTGTGCAGACGTTATTTATTTTGCTGGGCACTGGGGGAGAGGAGAGGCACCATACGGGTGGGGCAGCGGCTGCCTTCCTTATCTGCTCTCCACAGTGCCGGAGAGGAGGGAGGGGTGCCCAGCCGTTCCTGCCCCACCCTGTTCTTTCACGCAAATCCTTCCCCAGATAGTTGTCAGGTAGCCCTGTCATAGATCTGGAATGTGGAGGAGTATCCTCCTTCTTGTTCTCACCTCTCTCTTGCCCCACTACTGTGTGCTATCTTAAGAAGAAGAAGAAGAGATTGGGTTTATACCCCGCCCTTCACTTGGAGTCTCAGAGCGGCTTACAAACTCCTTTCCCTTCCCCTCCCCACAACAGACACCCTGTGAGGTGGGTGGGGCTGAGAGAACTCTGACAGAGACTGCTCTTTTTCAAGGACAGCTGTGCCAGAGCTTGTGACTGACCGAAGGTCACATCAGCAGGTGCAAGTGGAGGAGTGGGGAATCAAACCCGGTTCTCCCAGATTAGAGTCCGCACACTTAACCACGACACCAAACTGGCTCTCTTATGCTTGACCTCGCAGATGTTCCAGCTGCCAATTCCACGGCTGGGAATGTTAACGGCTTCTTTGCTCTGCCTGCTTGCTTTGCCACGCGCGTGAACTATATCCATTGGCTCATGCTTACAGGGGGAATGTTTGATTTCACTATAAGCCAGAGGCCCCGTTACTGACGGCCATTCCTGGCACAGTCTGTCCACATGCTCTTTAGTACTGGAACCACTAATAAACAGTTATCTTCTTATGAAGCCCCGTGTGGTGTGACCTGACTAGGGAGCCTGACAAAGGGAAAACTGTACTCTGAGAACTTGTCTCCTGGGTGGGGCGGTCCAAGCCTTCCTGTCCTCAATAAGCATCGAGCTGGCGAGTTGGAGGTGCCTTGCTGTAGCCAAGAGTTGTGGACGTGAAGCAGGTTAACTCTGGGGGGCGGCAATTAACAGCGAGAGGCATTGCCCTCTCCATACCCTGAGTCCAGGACTGGCATCAGCAGACCCTGAGGTGGGGCAGCTGCAACCAGGGCCTAGAGCTTCAGATGGGGCCCACTGCCACTAACACACCCCCCCAGCTTCTATCTCCCCCCTACCCCCCGTCTGCACCTGTGCCCAGTGTTCGCTCTAAGCTGAGTTAGTGTGAGCTAACTCACCATTTTTTAGCCTCCAGCTCACACATTTTTGTCTCACCTCAGGAAGGATGGTTCCGGAGCAAACTAATTTATGCAGTAGCCAAATCTCCCGCTCACAACTTTAATGCCAGTAGCTCACAAAGTAGAATTTTTGCTCACAAGACTCCACGGCTTAGAGGGAACATTGCCTGTGCCCCTAACCAGTGTTTCCCCCCCTAAGCTGAGTGAGTGTGAGCTAGCTCACCATTTTTTAGTCTCCGGCTCCCACCTTTTTGTCTTCGCTCAGGAAGGATGGCTCCAGAGCAAGCCAATTTATGCAGCGGCCAACTCGCTCGCTCACAACTTTAATGCCAGGAGCTCACAGAGTAGAATTTTTGCTCACAAGACTCCACAGCTTACTTAATTTATTTATTTATATTTACATTTATACCCCGCCCACCCTGTGAACAGGCTCTGGGTGGCTTACAGGAGACAGCCTGTCGGCCGATACAAATGAAACAATAAAAATAGTAAAATCCCTTCAAAAACAATCTTAACAATAGAGTGCTCACTACAGCCGAGTAACCTTAAGATGAATGGCGTTGTATCTGCATTCCTTCTGTCTTCAGATCTTAAAATCAGTCCCATGGTCCAGATGTTCGCCGGTGAGGCTCAGAGCGGGCCAGTCTGATATTCCAGATTGATGGTAGCTGTGGTGGCGGCTCCTATTTGAAAGCCTGGCGGAAGAGCTCTGTCTTGCAGGCCCTGCGGAACTGTGAGAGGTCCCGCAGGGCCCTGATCTCGTCCGGGAGCTCATTCCACCAGTAAGGAGCCGCCACCGAAAACGCCCTGGCCCTGGTAACGACAAGTCTCGCCTCCTTGGGGCCTGGGATAGATAGACGTTGTTGGGCCCCAGACCGTAGTGCTCTCTGGGGCACAAATGGGGAAAGGCGGTCCCTCAGGTAAGCTGGACCCTGGCCGTATAGGGCTTTAAAGGTAAGCACCAGCACCTTGAAGCGAATCCGGTAAGCAATTGGCAGCTGGTGATCGACCATGTCGAACGCAGCCGACAGGTCAAGCAGCAGCAGCACCGCCGAACCGCCTCGATCCAAGTGTCTTTGGAGGTCGTCAGTAAGAGCGACCAACACCATCTCCGTCCCGTGTCCCAGGCGAAAGCCGGACTAGAAGGGATCTAACACAGAAGCATCATCCAGAAAGCCTTGGAGCTGTACCGCCACCGCCCTCTCGATTAATTTGCCCAAATGGGGCAAATTGGAAACTGGCCGATAGTCAGCCAATTTGGCCAAATAGCCACACTCTCCCCGGCTTCCCACAGCAGGCCAACACACTCAATGCCCGTGATCTCCAGAGGGAGTATTGTCCCAACTGGCCAGAGTCCTTGAGGAAGGGCATGTGGGTGGTGCACAGTGGTGGGAGTCCTGGGGGGGCCGTGGCAACAGCACTCCCTTTGAGACACATGCAGCCTGCTGGGTGACCTTGGGTCAGTCCCAGTTCTCTCTGAACTCTTTCAGCCCCACCTGCCTCACAGGGTGCCTGTTGTGAGTAGAGGAAGGCAAGGCAATTGTAAGGCACTTTGAGACACATGAGACCTAGGGGAATAGGGAAAAAAAGAGACATGAGAGACCTGCTAGGTGGCCTTGGGCCAGTCCTAGTTCTCTCAGGACTCTCTCAGCTCCACCTGCCTCACAAGGTGCCTGTTGTGGGGAGAGGAGTACTGGAGAGTCAGAGTGGGGTAGTGGTTAAGAGTGATGGACTCTAATCTGGAGAATTGGGTTTGATTCCTCCCATTCTTCCTCCACATGAAGCCTGCCGGGTGACCTTGGACCAGTCACGATTCTCTCAGAACTCTCTCAGCCCCACCTGCCTCACAAGGTGCCTGTTGTGGGGAGAGGAAGGGAAGACAATTGTAAGGCACTTTGAGCCACATGAGGCCTGCTGAGTGACCTTCGGCCAATCATGGTTCTCTCAGAACTCTCTCAGCCCCACCTGCCTCACAGGCTGTCTGTTGTGGGGAGAGGAAGGGGAGGCGATTGTAAGCCACTCTGAGGCTCCTTAGGGTAGGGCCGCAGTGGCTCAGAGGTTAAGACGCTGAATTGCAGACCAGAAGATCAGTAGCTCGGCAGTTCGAGACCCGAGTGCCGCATGAGAGCCAGTTTGGTGTAGTGGTTAAGTGTGCGGACTCTAATCTGGGAGAGCCGGGTTTGATTCCCCACTCCTCCACTTGCACCTGCTGATGTGACCTTGGGCAAGCCGTAGTTCTGATAAGAGCTGTTCTTGAAAAAGAGCCGTAGTTCTTGATAAGAGCTGTTCTGTCTGAGCCCCACCTACCTCACAGGGCGTCTGTTGTGGGGAGGGGAAGGGAAAGGAGTTTGTAAGCCGCTCTGAGACACCTTCGGGTAGTGAAGGGCGGGGTATAAATCCAATCTCATCTCATCATCATCATGATGACGGAGTGAGTTCCCATCTCTAGTTCCAGCTCCTGCCAGCCTAGCGGTTCAAAAGCAAGAAACTGCAAGTAGATAAATAGGTAGGTACCGCTTTGGTGGGAAGGTAACAGCATTCCGTGTGCCTTGGCATTTAGCCATGCCGGCCACATGACCACGGAAATGTCTTCGGACAGCGCTGGCTCTTCAGCTTGGAAACAGAGATGAGCACTACCCCCTAGAGTCGGATTCGACTGGCTTTTGAGCAAGGGAAACCTTTACCAGGGTAGAGAAAAGTGGGGTGTAAAAACCAACTCCTCTTCTTCTTCTACATACGCTGGCCTATGCTGTTGGGGGAAGGCAACTGCGAGTGGGATCAGGATGCACAGGGAGGATGGGGGATGCACAGGTGTAGAGGTGGTGTAGTGCAGTGTAGTGACTAGAGTACCGGAAGCTTGCTGAGTGACCTTGGGCTAGTCACACTGTTTTTCAGCCTAACCGACATCGCCGGGTTGTTGTGAGGATAAAATGGAGGAGAACTATGTAAGCTGCTTTGGGTCCCCCACTGGGGGAAAAGGTGGGGTATTAAACAAATGAGCAGGTATGAGGAGGGCCCTGGGTGTGGACAGACATGGGGCCCTGGGCACTCTCTTCCCAAAACCTGGAACCGGCCCACATTGCGTCCACTGTAGTGGGGGAACAGGGTGCTGGACATGTTGGGTCTGTGGTCTGAGCAAGCATCGCTGTCTTTGTATTCCTCTTAGCTGGCCGACATCGTCATTGACTGCCTCTGCCGGGGGGTGTTTGCCGGGGACTGCCGGGTGCTGAGCATACGCTCCTGTTTCCCAGTGTTGTTCCAGGCGGAGCGGACGCACCGTTCAGTCATCTTAGGCATGGCTCTCGGTGGAGGTGAGGCCTGAAAGGAAACCAGGGGTCCACCTAGGGTCTCCAGCCCTTGTGAGCCTGTGGGCATCTTTGGAAGTCTGACGCAGAGTAGTGGGCACAGTCACAAAATGGCTGCCACAGGAGGCTGAGCCAATCGTAAAATGGCTGCCGCAGGCAGCAGAGCCATATACACAGAGGAAGCCCAAGCATAGGGGAGAAGAGGGGAAATTTTAAAAATACACTGGGAAAGAGGAGCAAGAGAAAATAAAGCCAACCCTGTGGTGTCAGCTGTTGCTGAAACAACACTAGTTTAATTTGCACAGCCAATTGGATACCCAGTGGCCAATCAGAAGTCCTGTTGGGCAAGACCCACCCACCTGGCTCCACCCACTTTTTAAAAAAACCCCAGTGTTTAGGCAGCAGGACAAGGCTGGCCCAGCTGAATACAGTTCCATTAATTCTTTTTAAACCCTGCATGTAGAAAACCAGCGTTTCAGGGAGGAGAATGGGCTAGAATCCTTCCCCACAACGTGGTAGTTTTTTGTGTTTTTAAATTGGAGGAGGGTTCAGTCATGAGAGGTCCTCCTTGCATTCGGTTGTGGTACAGTCCAGACTAGGGATGCCCCGGCTACTTACCCGGCTGGCGGGGGGGTGGGAGGGAGCCTTCCAGAAGTGGGGAGGGCGGGGTGATGTCGCTGTGCGTGTTGTCAGCACGAAGACGTCACACAGAAGTGATGTCATCACGCCGGGCATGTGGCGCAATGACGCTCTAGCATTTTGGTCAAGACTCTATAGTTACCATAGAGTTTTGGCCAAAATGCTAGAGCGTCACAGCACGATGTGCCTGACGTGATGGCGTCACTTCCACATGAAGTCATTGCGCTGACAGCGTCAATGTGGGAAAGGGCTGTTCAGGGGTGGGGCTTCCCCCGCCGGCTGACTGGGGGTCTGGCAACCCTAGTTCAGATATAAGCCCACTGTCTCGAAGCAGGTCTTTGCACATGATAGATAGGCAGTCCCCAAACCAAAACTGAGCAACGCAGTCGGCTGAACTCTTACAACCTGCATGGATTAGACAAATTAAACCAACTAGGCATCATCTATTTTGCTTCCGCTGGTCAGATGGGAGGGGCACGGAGCACTGCCAGTTGAATTTCTGCCTGCCGTGCTGCTGTTAGGGATGCAGAAGCCCTGCTGGAAGAACAGATAGTACCCTTAGAAGGGGTGGCTGGGGGCAATAACTAGAGGTAGGGCCCCTTTTGAGCACAAATACTTTAATAAATGAAGACAGCAGTTAGCAGAAATGCTGTCAGTGCATAGGAAGAGGGGCACCGTGGAGATTTAGCCGTCTTATTTATCTGCCTGTTCTTCAAGGAAAAAGCCTCCCGGTGGAGTCTCCACTGATTGGCCGGGCCCAGAAGGAGCGCTGGAGCCAGTGGTCGCTGCGCAGTGGGATGGAGGCCCTGCCCGAAGGCTTGGCGGACTTCTCGAAGCGTCGTGGGGTGGAGATCCACCGAGATGCCTCCGTGAAGCGGTTAGAGACAACAGCGGCTGGCGGCTGGCAGGTAGGGAAGGAGGGCAGGGTGGGGAAGGGGCCTCTGATGAGGCTGGGCGTGGCCCTGACCCCTCGGCGGGGGCGGGATGTGGGATCTTCCTTCAGTTGCTGTGGCTGAATTTTTCTCCCCGGTTGGGGTGAAGAAGGAGCCGGGCGTTCCCTTCTGCAGAAGAGGCTGTGAAGCTAGGAGCAGGGGTCTGTCTGAGGCCCAACTTCTCACACCCTGGACCGGGAGTCCTGGCCAGGAAAGGCCGACACCTTTCCTGGCTCCCGCCTGGTGTTTTTAGAAACTGGGGTAGGGCCTGGTGGGCCTTCTGCCCAGCAAAGCTTTTGACTGACCACTGGAGATGCGATTGGCTGGTAAGGTTTTTTTAAAAATGTTGCTTTGGCAGTAGCTGCCACCACAGCCCATGGATCTTCACTGTGTGACTGAAGGTAAGCTGCAGCAGCCACTTTAGAAGCCATTTTGCGTCCACCATCCTGTGTCAGAATCCCAAAGTGCCTGCAGGTTCAGAAAGGTTGGGGAACTCTGCCCTGGACTAAGAAGAAGAAGAAGAAGAACAAGAGATTGGATTTATACCCCGCCCTTCACTACCCAAAGGAGTCTCAGAGCGGCTCACAAACTCCTTTCCCTCCCCCTCCCCACAACAGACACCCTGTGAGGCACGAGGGGCTGAGAGAGCTCTTGACAGAAACGGCTCTTTTTCAAGAACAGCTCTTATCAGAACTATGGCTTTCCCAAGGTCATCCAGCCAGGTGCAAGTAAAGGAGTGGGGAATCAAACCTGGTTCTCCCAGATTAGAGTCCGCGCACTTAACCACTACACCAAACTGACTCTCTAAGGCCAGGCAACTAAAGGAGGTGATGCTACTTGTAGCTACTTGAGAGCCAGTTTGGTGTAGTGGTTAAGTGCGCGGACTCTAATCTGGGAGAACCAGGTTTGATTCCCCACTCCTTTACTTGCACCTGGCTGGATGACCTTGGGAAAGCCATAGTTCTGATAAGAGCTGTTCTTGAAAAAGAGCCGTTTCTGTCAAGAGCTCTCTCAGCCCCACCTACCTCACAGGGTGTTGTGGGGAGGGAAGGGAAAGGAGCTTATAAGCCATTCTGAGACTCAAGTGAAGGGTGGGGTATAAACCCAATCTTTTCTTCTTCTGTTCTCCATGAAAGATGGAACTCAAGGGATGCAGAATAGCTTCAGTCGTGGCTTTCTAGGGATGCAGAATAGCTTCGGTCATGGCTTTCTTAAATCAGATCCTCAATCCCAGGGGTCATTTCATAGAAAAAGAGGTGCAGGAGCTCATTAGCATAACTCATTTGAATAACTCATTTGCATATGCCACGCCCCCTGACATCACCGGAAGTGCGTCAGAAGGCAACACCCACCACTCAGGCTCCACTGGACTCTTTTGGATTGCTAGCTACTGGGGGGGGGGGGAACGTGCAGATCTGTCCTCGCAGAGGAGGGAGAGCTTGTACCTGAACAAAACTGGGTCTTAAAGGTGCCACTGGACTGTTTTGGGCCAGGGGGCCGGGGGGAGTTCTGCAACTTACCTGGCTGCTTCTTGCTCTGACTGAGGGCTGCTGGAAGCAGGGGGTGGGGCTTGTTGCATGTGCCCGCCCCCTGGACTCTTTACTGCTGGAGCTCCACTCCTGTGCGCTCCTGCAGGAAATGAGCCCTGCTCAATCCGGCTCCGATTGGGTTTCCCAAAAACCTGGTTCCTGAGGTCCTTTAAGAGGCGATGCCAGGGATTGAACCTGGGGCCTTCTGTGCACAAAGCCGGTGCTCTCCCATGTTGCCACGGCCCCTCCTGTGACCTAGGGCTTAGATGTCCTTGAAGTGGCAAACCACTGTCTGGGGGCTAGGGTTGCCAATCTCCAGGTGGGGCACGGAGGTCTGGTAGTATAATGGAATTCCAGAGGACAGAGATCAGTTCTCCTGGAGAAAATGGGTGGTTTGGAGGGTGGACTCTATGGCATTGTACTCTGCCGAAACCCTGCCATTCCAGGGCTCCACCCCTCAAAATATACAGGTATTTCCCAACCCAGAGCTGGCAACCCTGGAGGGGGCTCACATAACCGAGCGCTCCTCAGGGCGTGAGGTCACCGTATGTGGAAAGCTAGCATGTCAGGAAGGAGGCGCTAAATCTTCCTGTTGCTGGACTAGTTTCCAGATGGAGGGGAACATCTGTCATCATGAAATCTGCTGGCTGGAATGTTCAGCCCAGGTGCCGGTTTATTCCACCCACGAGAAAGAGGGCCTTTGTTGCAGCTGTGGGTGTCTTCTGGCTGCTGTGAGCCCAAGTGCCTTGAGCTCCATTTCTGCGGAGATTTTGCAGGAGCGAGAGGGAGAGCTGATTTTGCCTTTCTGCCCTAGATAGCCCTGGAGGATGGTGTGGTGGAGGCCGATCACGTGATCAGCGCATTGCCTGCCAAAGGTAGGACGTGTGGCTGCTCCCAAGGGTTGTGTTCAAGCACAGCCCCCCCCCAATCCCCCTTGTCCCCCCTTTGCTGGCTTCCCCGATTATTGCCCACACAAGGTCAGCTTTACACAACTTTAAGGGCCAAGCGTTTACCATAAAAAAACGGAGGAATGCTGAGTGCCAATATGGCGTAGTGGGTAGAGGGCTGGACTAGCATCCTGGGAGAGCTGGGTTCCAATCCCGGCTTCTACCACAGAAGATCACTGAGTGGCCTTGGGCCTCAGCCTGGCCCGCCTCCCAGGGTTGTTGTTATGAGACAAGGGAGGAGAGGAGAATGGTGATCTAAAGCCACTCTTGAGTCCCAACTGCAGAGAAAAAGCAAGGTAGAAATGAATAAATAAGCAAACTTTCAGGATGCTGCATTTCGCACCCTTTACTAAGTTCCGTACCGTTTTTGTGCAATAGGGGAATACACAGAGTCTGGTTCTCTTTGGGGTTTTTTTGTATGTTTCTATATCTGTGTGCACGCATGTGTGTTCGTGCACCTGGAAGTCATGGCGACCTCTGGTGAGTCATGGTCTCTCTAAGCTGTGGAGTCCTGTGAGCAAAGATTCCACTTTGTGAGCTCCTGGCATTAAAGTTGTGAGCCAGCGATTTGTCTACTGCATAAATTAGTCTGCTCTGGAGCTCTCCTTCTTGAGCAAATTTTTAAAATTTAATTTATTTAACTTTAGACTTGATATACCGCCCTAATCCCCCGGGGGGTCTCTGGGCGGTTCACATGTGTTGCGTTCTAAGAACTGTAATCCTAACTTGGGCCACATCTAGTATTGGGGGTGGGGCTGCCTACCAGCACCCTTGGTGGTGGGCCCTTGATGGCCTTCTGGCTGCTGGCTCGGCTCGGCGTCTACCCGATCTCTACTGGCGGCTGGATCGGCGCGGCGTCCTCTGGGTCTCTTGGCTGCTAGATCGGCGCGGCGTCCTTCTAGGCCTCTGATGTCTCCACGGCGATGACCGGCAGGACCGCGCGGGCGCACGGCTCGTGCACAAAAATGTGGGAGGCGGAGGCCAAAAAACTGAGCTAGCTCACGTTAACTCAGCTTAGAGGGAACAGTGCTGGTGACTGACCCCTACGGGGGCCTGTTGTGATGACTCACCGCTCTTGATCCTTCCGCAGGCCTCGCAAAGCAATGGCTCCTTCCCAAGCAGTCCTGCCACATCTGCATTTTCTTTTCCCTCTCCTTAGCTCTCGCCGCGTTGCTCCCAAGCTGGGCTGAGCCGCTGAGCCAAGAGCTGTGCGCCATCCCGGCGGTGTCTGTGGGGGTCGTGAACCTTCAGTACAAAGGTGTGGAGCTTCCCGTCACGGTAAGAGCCCGCCTGCCCAGCCTGGGCTGTCCTGCACAATCACAACACCGGTACCTTCCCCTCAGAGTTCTGTAACTGTAGCACAGGGCTCCCCAATGCAGTACCCGTGGGAATAGAAAACTGTAAGACACAGAGCACTGAATATTTCTAGCCTTGTTTTTCAGAGTCGGAAATAGTTTTCTTCTGTTTATAATTTTGACTTTAAAAGTATACTGAGACTGATTACACACACCCCAGCCCCACCTTAGGAAGCCTGTCTCCCATATGTGCCTCTCTACCACTTGAGATCTGGAACAAAGGTTTTACCTTGAGAAGCAAGGCTGGCTGAAGAGCGAGGCCTTCTCGGTAGTGGCCCCAACTTTAAGGAATCCATTTGGAACACTGTGGGGGAGGGGAGTTGTTTTTAGTTTTGGTTTTGTCTGGCCATTCCTTCCAGAATCTTGAGAGTAGTGGCAAAGAGAGATAGATAACACACTGGAGATATTGAGTCGAGTGTGTGACTGCAGTAAAAAAAAGGGCAAAGGCTGTCCTGGGGATTATTAGGAAGGGGATTGAAAACAAATCAGCACCCTGACCTGGATAGCCCAGGAAAGCCTGATCTCATCAGATCTCAGAAACTAAGCAGGGCTGACTCTGGCAAGTCCTTGGATGGGAGATCTTCTTGGAATACCAGAGGCGGGAGGTGGGGGCAGGCTTTAGTCAGTCACCTCTTGAATATCCTCCATGCCCCCAGTAGGGGTCAGTCACCAGAAGGCACCATGACTTCCAGGTGCACATGCGTGCACACACATAAAAATACAAAAATAGCCTGCCCGCTCCCAAGAAAACAAATCAGCCAGTATCATAATTTGTTGTTGTTCAGTCGCACAGTCGAGTCCGACTCTTCGCGACCCCATGGACCAGATGACGCCAGGCCTTCCGGTCTTCCACCGTCCTCTGAAGTTTGCTCAATTTCATGTTTGTTGCATCTATGACACTGTCTAACCATCTCATCCTTTGCCGTCCCCGTCTTCTTTGACCTTCAATCTTTCCCAGCATCAGGGTCTTCTCCAGTGAGTGCTCCCTTCTCATTTGGTGGCCAAAGTATTTGAGCTTCAGTTTAATTATCTGGCCTTCCAGGGAACAGTCAGGGTTGATTTCTTTTAGGATTGACTGATATATATATGTATGTGTGTGTATATATGTATGTGTATATATGTTTATATATATGTGTGTGTGTGTGTGTGTGTGTGTATACAGGGCTATTTTTGGGCATATATATGTATGTATATATATATGTATATGTATGTATATGTATGTATAAATCTATGATGCAACCTCATTTGGAGTACTGTGTACAGTTCTGGTCACTGCACCTCAAAAAAGATATTATAGCATTGGGAAAAGTGCAGAAAAAGGTAACTAAAATTATTAAGGGGAAAGAACATCTTCCCTGTGAAGAAAGGTTAAAAAGCTTTCTAGCTTGCAGAAAAGACGATTGAGGGGTGACATGACGAAGGTTTACAAAATTATGTATGAGATAGAGAAGGTAAAGAAAGAAAGTACTTTTCCCCCTTTCTCATAACACAAGAACTTGTGGGCACTCCATGAAATTAATGAGCAGTAGGCTTAGAACAGATCACAGGAAGTACTTCTTCACCCAAAGAGTAGCTTCAAGAGGGCAAGGTCCCGGCCTCTCTGCCCAGTCACATGACCCAAACTCCAGCTTCTCCATTGCCTACGTTGCATGTGGGCTAGAGCCAGGAGATGATACAAAGTTGTTCAGGGTGGTGAAAACCAGTGAGGATTGTGAGGCACTCCAAGGGGATCTGTCAAGGATGGGCGAGTGGGCGTCAACATGGCAAATGGGGTTCAATGTGGCCAAGTGCAAGGTGATGCACATTGGAGCCAAAAATCCTAAATATAAATACACATTGATGGGGTCTGAACTGGCAGAGACTGAGCAAGAGAGAGATCTTGGAGTTGTAGTGGATAACTCACTGAAAATGTCGAGACAGTGTGTGACTGCAATAAAGAAGGCCAATGCTATGCTGGGGATTATTAGGAAGGGTATTGAAAACAGATCAGCCAATATAATAATGCCCCTATATAAATCAATGGTGAGACCTCATTTGGAATACTGTGTGCAGTTCTGGGCACCACACCTTAAAAAGGATATTATAGCTTTGGAAAAAGTGCAGAAAAGGGCAACTCGAATGATAAAAGGGTTGGAACACTTTCCCTATGAGGAAAGGTTAAAGCGCTTAGGGCTCTTTAGCTTGGAGAAAAGACGACTGAGGGGTGACATGATCGAGGTTTATAAGATTATGCATGGGAAAGAGCAGGTAAAGAAAGAGGTACTTTTCTCCCTTTCTCACAATACAAGAACTCGTGGGCACTCCATGAAACTGCTGAGCGGTCGGGTTAGAACGGATAAAAGGAAGTACTTCTTCACCCAAAGAGTGATTAACACATGGAATTCACTGCCACAGGAAGTGGTGGGTGCTACAAGCATGGACGGCTTCAAAAGGGAATTAGATAAGCATATGGAGCAGAGGTCCATCAGTGGCTATTAGCTACAAGGTATAGCTAGGGGCTCTGGGGCAAGTGATGCTCTGTCTTCTTGGTGCTAGGGGGGGGGTCAACAGTGGGAGGGCTTCTAATGTCCTGGCCCCACTGCTGGACCTCCTGATGGCACTGGTATTTCTGGCCACTGTGTGACACAGAGTGTTGGACTGGATGGGCCTTTGGCCTGATCCAACATTGGCGTCTCTTATGTTCTTATGTTCTTATGTAAAGCAATTTTTCTATACACCCTCTCCCTAAAGATGGAAATTCGGGGTAGAAACTCCTCAGGGACATGCATACATGTGGGCTCTTGTTACGTTCATTTGGCCTGACGGGCAGTTTGAACCTCTCTTTTCTTCAGGGCTTTGGACACCTGGTGCCCTCCTTTGAAGACAGCACCCTCCTGGGCATCGTTTACGATTCTGTTGCCTTCCCTGAACAGGACGGCTCCGGTGGACCTGCCATTCGACTTACAGTGAGAACAGGGCTGGGGCTAGAAATGTGTACTTACAATTGCTTGCTGCTTAGAGCTTTTTTTGGGGGGGGGAACCCATCTATTGATGAATTAGCGTAAAATATTTACATTTATACTTTTTATTTTGTGCAAGTGCTGTCCTTGCTTCCGACTTATGGCGATGCTGTGAATGAATGTCTCGAAAAATGTCCTCTCGTTAACAGCCTTGCCCAGGTCTTGCAGACGGAGGGCCACCGCGGCTTCCTTGATTCACTCAATCCATCTCCTTTTGAGTCTTCTTCTTTTCCTGCTGCCGTCCACTTCTCCTAGCATGATTGTCTTCTCCAGTGACTCTTGTCTTCTCCTAATGTCACCAAAGTACGATAGCCTCAGTTTGGTTATTTTGGCTTCCAGGGCAGTGATGGCGAACCTTTTAGAGACCGAGGGCCCAAACTGGGACCCAAAACCCACTTATTGATCGCAAAGTGCCAACACGGCAATTTAACCTGAATACTGAGGTTTGACTTTAGGAAAAAACAACTCAGACATTAACTTAAGATGATCCAGACAAAGTAAGGAAAGCAATCCCAAATGTTTTCATTTACTTAAAATTATTTGGCAGAGAATTCGACACTTTAATGATGGTCTGGGCCTGGCTGGGGCGATGGCATGCATCTCCACAGAGAGGGCTCTGAGTGCCACCTCTGGCACCCATGCCATAGGTTCGCCACCACTGTTCTAGGGAGAGTTCAGGCTTGATTTGAGCTAGAACCCCCTGATTTGCCTTTTTGGCAGTCCACGGCATCCGTAAAACTCTCCCCCAACGCCCCATTTCAAATGAATCGACTTTGACCGATTCCCCACAAGCAGTTGTGCCGCCCTCGCTCTTTTTTCCCCCCCTTGCATCGGTCAATTTCACACTATTGGCTGCATGGCCGTACTTTAACCCTCAGCTCCCCCCAATTTCCTCCGCGTCTTCTCGATCCTTGTTTTTTGAGATCGAGAAGACGCGGGGGGAATCTGGGGTGGGGGGAGCTGCGGGTCAAAATGTGGCTGCGCAGCGAATAGTGTGAAATTGACCAATGCAAGCGGGGGAAACGGAAGAGTGAGGGCGGCACAGCTGCTTGTGGGGAATCGGTTTTTCTTCCTGCCAGCTTTCTTCCTTGTCCAACGTTCACACCCATACATAGTCATGGGGGATGCCGTGGCATGAATCAACTTTATCTTGATCGCTGTCCTTACCCTTAAGAGTCTTTTCTAGCTCCTTCATGGCTGCCTTTCCCGGTCTCAGCCTCCTTCTAGTTTCTTAATTGCAATCAGATGAGGGAGAATCAAACATGGGCACATTGGCTTCAGGTCAGATTAATCTGGAGCGAAACAGTATTTTGGATGAGCCAAGAAAGGCTGTGGTCACACACGCTCAATAATCCACTTTCAGTCCACTTCCCAACTGGATTTTGCCAGTTCACACCGTAAAAATCTAGTTGGGAAGTGCATTGAAAGTGGATTATTTAGCGTGCGTGACCACAGTCTGAGATTATTTCCCATTCTTCTTGGGAACTGCCCATGAGAGGACAGCTTTGAAAGAACGTGACTGACCCAAGGTCACACCAGCAGCTGCGTGTGGAGGAGTGGGGGAATCAAACCCGGTTCTCCCAGATTAGAGTCTGCACTCCTAACCGCTACCGCAAACTGGCTCTCAGACAAAAGGTCCATCTAGTTCAGCATCCCATCTTCAATGGGGATGTTTCCAGAGAGCCCAAACAGGGCATGAAAGTGCAGCTCTCTTCGCTTGGCTCCCAGTCTTCAGAGGTACACTTCCTCTCAACCTGAATGTTCCATTTAACATTCTGGTCATTAGCTCTTGATGGACGTCTCCTCCTCTTTGAATTGGCCCTGTCCCCTTTCAAAGCCAGCAGCACTCTGTCCCTTTCCCCCCAATTAAGTGACTTCTTTGCCTCCTGCAGGTGATGCTGGGGGGTGCGTGGTTCACACCCGGCCTGGGGGACCCAGACACCATCTCTGATGCTACCCTGGTGAGAAGAGCACAGGCGGCCGTGAAGAAACAGCTGGGGTTGTCCGCTGAGCCATCTCACACGATTGTCAAGGTGCACAAGGTATGCACAAGGCGAGAGAGAGAGTTCCCTATCTGCTAGGTTTCTCCCCCAAAACTTTGTTCCGTATTCCAGAGTCAATGCCTGAAACCTGAGGACATGAATAAAAACAAAACTAATCAAGGGTTTTGCTTGCGGTTAGTGGTGGTGGTTAGTACACGGCCAGCTCCGGTGCAATTTTCATCCTTGCAAAATGGGCTGCTGCCGTTCACAGCTAGGGCTTTGAAGCTGTCGTTTCTGGCCAGCCGGTTAATCTCTTGGGTGAGGAAGGATTTGAACCCAGCTCTTGCTGAACTGCAGGCTGAGGAAGGTCGGTAGTTCAGCAGTTCGAGACCCGGGTGCCGCATGACGGGGTGAGCTCCCGTCTCTAGTTCCCGCTCCTGCCAACCTAGCAGTTCGAAAGCAAGACATTGCAAGTAGATAAATAGGTACCACTTCGGTGGGAAGGGAACAGCGTTCCGTGCGCCTTGGTGTTTAGTCATGCCGGCCACATGACCACGGAAACGTCTTCGGACAGCGCTGGCTCTTCGGCTTTGAAACGGAGATGAGCACCGCAACCCTAGAGTCGGATTCGACAGGCTTTCGAGCAAGGGGACCTTTACCTTTACCTCCTGAGTCCACATCTCACTTCTGGGGATCACCGTGAGAGACATGGATAGAGAGAAGGGGCCTCACATTGGGAATGAGAGGGCAAAGAGTGGCAAACGTTGTGAGGGGGTGGGTAGGGTTGCCAAATCCAGGTTGGGAAATCCCTGGAGATTTGGGGATGGAGCCTGAAAAGGACCGGGACCTCACTGGGGTACAGTGCCACATAGAGTCCACTCTCTAGATCAGAGTCCACGCTCCTAACCGCTACAGTAAACTGGCTCTCAGAATGAAAGGTCCATCTAGTTTTTCTCCAGGGGAATTGATCTCTGTGGTCTGGAGATGAGCTGTAATTCCGGGGGGTCCCCGGGTCCCACCTGGAGGCTGGTGTCGCTAAGGGCGGGTCTGGGGCTATGGGACAAGGAGAGAGAGATGCCCAGTCTCTCTTCTGGTTTCTATCAGGATTCCAGTAGGCCAGTGGTGGCGAACCTATGGCACGGGTGCCAGAGGTGGCACTCAAAGCCCTCTCTGTGGGCACGCGTGGCATCGCCCCAGCCAGGCCCAGACCATCATTAAAGTGTCGAATTCTCTGCCAAATAATTTTAAGTCAATGAAAGCATTTGGGATTGCTTTCCTTACTTTGTTTGCATCATCTTAAGTTAATGTATGAGTTGTTTTTTCTAAAGTAAAACCTCAGTATTCAGGTTAAATTGCCGCGTTGGCACTTTGCGATAAATAAGTGGGTTTTGGGTCGTAGTTTGGGCACTCGGTCTCTAAAAGGTTCGCCATCACTGCAGTAGGCCAAAGACCTTGGCTAATGTTAATCTCTGATCCCTTCGTCTTTCTCTTTCAGGCGTGCATTCCGCAGTATACCCTTGGTCACTGGAAACACATAGGTAGGTCTCACTTCAGATGTTTACATTCCACTTTCCGATCATCAGATTCCCCAACGAGGCTTATTAAAATTCAGAACTTTTTTTTTTCTTAAGTCAAAGCAGTGCAACCTTCGAACAATATAGATCTTTTTGGTGCGTCCTGACCCTATCCACACTCTCCTGCCTAGCACTATAAACCATTCAGGAGGGTCATCCCTTCCTAATATTTTGAGCCAGGTTCTCCACTTGCAGATGCTGGATGACCTTGGGCAAGCCATAGCTCTGACAAGAGCTGTTCTTGAAAAAGAGCCATTTCTGTCAGAGCTCTCTCAGCCCCACTGGCCTCACAGGGCGTCTGTTGTGGGGAGGGGGAGGGAAAGGAGTTTGTAAGCCGCTCTGAGACTCCTTTGGGTAGTGAAGGGCGGGGTATAAATCCAACCTCCTCCTCTTCCTCTTCCTATTTCTCTTCTTAATAGCATATTTGGTGAGAAGATGGTGCAGAGTTCAGAAGCTTTCTAGGAAGCCACCGAGAATTTTAAACAGCTTAAAATTAAAACTTCCAATGGCTACTAAAAACAGATTATGTTCCAGGGGTAGGCGAGGAGGAGGACGATATATCTTCGTATCTATCGGTTTCGTCTTTCTTTTTCCAGCCCTTGATGCTTCCTGCTGTTGAACTATTAATATGCACTGTCAGATGAACTGTCAGATCTGCAGGATCTGAATGACAGGCTAACTCACACTAACTCAACTGAGAGGGAGCACTGGATAAAACACATATATGTACTGCACCAGTTTAGAAGGGCTGCTGATTGGTTGTAAATCTCTCCTTATATATAATTGAGTAGTGGGTGCCAAAGTTCTAAATTCTAAAATGCCCGCCTTTAGTGTAAGGCCGGAAAAACTGCCACTCAGACACTGGCTGGGTTGACTGGCTGCTTTGTGCAGTCCCGCCCAGCATTCCAAGGTCATTTGCATATGGAAGCTGATTGGACCTCACTCAATTCCACACCTCAAACTCACCCCCCCCCCCCGCAAGGCAGTTGGAATTTTCAGTTGCATAATAGGGGAGAGGAGAATGATGTCAGCTGCTCCCTAGGCAGAGGCTGTGGGGTGGTGGTGGTGGTAAAACTTAAGACAGACAGGCAGTTTGGCTGATGGTTGCCAGGAAAGGACATAGGGTTGCCAACTCCAGATTGGAAACTTCCAGGATATTTTAGGGATGAAGCCTGCTGAGGGTGGGGTCTGAGGAGGAGGAGGAAGAGGGGGACCTCAGACAGATACAATGCCATACTGCCCACACTCCAGACAAGCTGTTGCCAGTCTCCAGGTGACAGCTGGAGACATCTTAACGCTTTGGTGCTACTTCAAAGTGCTGCAATTTATCAACAGAGTAGTGTTTCGGAAAATCTTTAGGAATTGTTTGGTGCATTTACGACGGGGCTCCTGGGGAACTAT